GGTTTAGGGTTTAGGTTTTAGGGTTGAGGGTTCAGGGTTCAGGGTCTAGAGTCTAACCTAGTAGTAGAGTAGGTAGCCTTTAACCTTTTTTTGGGCAGCTGCAGCAAGTCCCTATGCATAACCGATACAACCACACCGGTTAACCTTTAGTTCCTCATCATACACGACAAGTAGGCTAACGTCTAGAGTATGGGGTTTGGGTTTCAGGGTTTAGGGTATTGCATATCCCGTACTGAGTATCCCCCAAACCCTGAAACCTTAACAATATACGGTTAAGGGGAAGCCTATGCCCGACAAGCCCAACAACTCTAAGCCGTCTGCTCATCCTTCTGCAATATGGGAGTTTCCGAAAGTTAGGGGTACCTTATATAGGGGTCCTTATAATAAGGATCCTACCATCTAGGGCATTATATTAGGGTCCCCTATTTTCGGAAGCTCCCATATATCGGATACAGAGGCTGGTGACCCTTCGGGCCATACAAACCCTCAACCCTGAGACGTCCTTTGAAGGAATCCTAGGCCTCTAGGTTCCTTGAAAAGAGGTTCCGTCCATTTAAGGACGGTAAGCCCAACGCAATCCTGAACCCTATACCCTAACAACCCTAAGCCCCTAAAGGAACCCTAAACCATCGAACCGTTTAAGAGGCTCCAACTACCTCAACCTTAAATCGTTAAAGAAGCCCTTTGAGAGAACCCTTCCAAAGGGATGAACCATCCTAAACCTCTATACACCCTCTATGTAAACCCTAGTGCTCTTAAAGGGACCCTTGAAAGCTTACAACCCCAGTATCGTACCCGTAAAGGAACCCTGCAAGGTAGCCTCATCTAGGTCCCAGAGTAGGCCCTTATTCCCTTTCTTAGGGTTTAGGTTCCCTTATAACACCCTTTAGACCAAAAAGGGCACCCTTTTTATGCCTAGGTTACTCTTAGGTCTAGTCATAGACCCCTTACAAGAACCCCGAAAGGAGCGCCTAATGACGGCGACTCCAAGTTGGTCGAGAAGTTCCAGACGATGTATGAGTCGGGTTTAGGGGTTTAGGAGTTTAGGGGTTTAGGGGTTTAGGGTTTAGGGTTTAGGGTTTAGGGTTTAGGGTTAAGGGTTAAGGGTTTAGGGTTTAGGGTTTAGGGTTTAGGGTGTGACGTCTACTGATGAGCAGAGCTTTGCTCAATGGGGCAAGGATAAGCTGAAAGCGATTGCCGAGGCCCGAAGCCAAATGCAAAGCAAAAGGAAGTCGCCCAAGAGGCGGAGCTCGCGCAAGTCCGACGACTTGGACGAGACACTTGATGACTTCATCAGCAAGCTGAGCCATGTGTCCGACTTGGTCAAGAAGCTGTCGACAGGCTGTCCGGAGGGAAGGCAAAGTTCGGTAGCCCTGAGACCTCACACAGCCCTTAAACCCTAAACCTTAAGCCCTAAACCCCTAAACCCTAAACCCCTAAACCCCTAAACCCTAAACCCCTAAACTCCCAATCCGAAACCCTTTCAATCTAATCCAAAAGCCCTAAGCCGCTTTAAAGGAGCCCTTTAAACAGCCTTATATCTTTTAGGAACCCCTGAAGGAGCCCTCTATTTAAAGCCCTTGGACCGCCTCAGGTCGTGGAGGAGCTCCGTGAGGTGCGCAGCGCGGAGTTTCCGAAAGTCTTCCGCCAGATCCAGGAGGCGCCTCTTTCGGAGCTTTCGGCTTCGTTTTAAAAGGGCCGTAAAGGGATGTGTAGGGGTTCCTTTAAAGGGATCCTTAAACTATAGAAAGTGGATCCCTTTAAAAGGGTTTAGGGTTTAAAGTTTTTGGCTTCCTTTGAAAGGTTTAGGGTGTAGGGTTTAGGGCTTAAGGTTTAGGGTCAGGGTTTGGGGGTTTAGGGGTTAGGGGTTTAGGGTTTAGGGCTTCCCTTTAAAGGGCCTTAAAGGGATCTGTAGGAGTTCCATTAAAGGGATCTATAAGGGGTTTAGGGCTTAAGGTTCCCGGAGCTTTCGGGCTTCCCTTTAGAGGGGTTTAGGGCTAAGGGCTCCTTAAAGGGATCTGTAGGGGTTCCTTTAAAGGGATCTGTAGGATTTAGGGTTTGAGGTTTAGGGCTTAAGGCTTAGGGCTTAGGGTGTAGGGTCTAGGAGCTTCCTTCAAAAAGGTTTAGGGTTAAGGGTTTTTAGCTAAATTTCGGGTTTAAGGTTTAGGGCTTCCCTTTAAAAGGGTTTAGGGTTTAAGGCTTAGGGTGATAGGGTTATAGGGCTTTAGGGTTCTAGGGTTCTAGGGTTTAGGATTTAGGGTTTACCTGGGGATCCAAAAACCTACCGTTGTATGGGTTAGACCCTCGAATTCAGTGGTCATAACCTACCGTTTTATAGGGTTTGGGGATACAGGTAACCCTAAACACTAAACCCTAAACCCTAAACCCCTAAACCCCTAAGCCCTAAACCCCTAAACCCTAAACCCGAAACCCTAAACCCTTAAGGATTGATTGATTCGGCCGCGTATCGCAGCCCCGGAAGTGAGAAGGACCCGTGCAAGTGGACAAGGCAAGTGTTCTGGCAAGTACGGGCGTCAAGCACTGGAGCCGTCAACAGCTGCATATCTGGGTATGAGCGAAGGTAACGGTTTAGGGTTTAGGGTAACACCAGTTGTTGTTGGGGCGCTTTACACAGAACTTGAATCATGGAACACGTCATTGAGCTCGGCTGTGTGGGTCGTGGTTCACTCGATCAATGGCTTGGGGCCCGTGCGTGTCCTGTCGTCATCATCTCGGCAACCTTCGAGCTGGATGGAATGAAAGCCGTTGAGTTGAAGAAGGCCTACCTGTATCCCCAAACCCTACAAAATAGTACGTTATGACCCCTTAATTAAAGGGTGTAACCTTAAAAAACGGTTGGTTTTTGGATCCACAGGTAGAGCCCTTCTGTTGGGAGCCGTGAGGGGAGCCTGCGCCACGTCCTGTGTTTAGGGTGTAGGATCTCTAGAGCTTTGCCTTGCCCTTTAAGGCCTTAAAGGGATCTGTAGGCGCTCCTTTAAAGGGATCCATAAGGGATCTATAGGGTTTAGCGGTTTAGGGTTTAAGGTTTCGGGCGTAAGGCGTAGAGTTTAGGGTTCAGGGTTTAGGGTTTAGGGCTCAAGGTTCCTTTGGTTATAGGGCTTTAAAGCATTATAGGGTTTAGGGCTTTCTTTAGAGGGATCCTTTTTGGGGTTCCCATGAATTGTAAAGGCATTCTTTCACAGTTCAGGGCTTGGGGATTGGAAGGTTTAGGGACTAGAGGTCTAGAGCATTCTAGTAGGTTTGGGAGAAGTTCCTTTAGGGGTTCTGGGGCTTTTAGGGGAGGGTCTTTTTGGAGGATTTTACCTTCAGGTAGCAATGAGCCCCCCACAAGGGTGTACGGTGCAGCTACTGTTAAGGGTCATGTGGTCCTACGTATCCAGGTTGGAGGGTTCTACGGATCCTCAGAAAGATTCCGTTAAGGGCTCTACCTACGGCTTTTAGGGGTTTAAGGTTTATAAGGTTTATTATAAGGTTTTAGGAAGCGCTTCTCAGGCTTCTGTTTAACATGGGGGCCAGCATAGTTAGAATGGGGCTGAATAGGGCTTTGGGGCATATTAAGGGTTGGTTTAGGGCTTTACGGGTTTAGGTTTTAGATTCTGGGCCTTCCGTTTGTTAGTATGTTTTAGTGTTTCCGAGGTTAAATTTTCAGATTCAAATCGTGAGGGTTTCAGGGTGTTCAGGTTGTGGGCTTAGGGCTATGTCACGCCCAGACCACCAAAGACCAACATATCCGGGGCAGTCACAAGCCAGTGCGGCACATCGGACGGCAGACGTCGATGCAGCACACCATTCTTGGATTGTCAGCGAGCTTCACAGGCAAACGTGAGACATGAGCGCCGCTTTGAGAAAATTTCTAGACTTCGGGTAAGTGAGAAGGGTTGTACAGGTTTTGGGACGACTGGCACCCAATTTGTTTACAAAGGAATGTTAATGTTACCATAACAATCTGATTTTTCAGGTTCCGTAAAGGGTTCATCGGCTAGGGTTGTGGGTGGTGGGTCCAGGCATCGCTTTGTTTTGTGTTCAACCCTAATTATAAACCCTCAAACCTTATTAACATTAGCAGGTTCCGAAATGGGAGAGCTTTTCTCGAGCCCAAAATGTGTTGCTAGCGGGTGTTTTTTGCTTGTTGGCCTCGTACTGGCATGGCCGATGGGGGTGGCTTCGGCGACATGTGCGATCGCAAGCTGATGTTCTGGCTGTCGTCGCCAGCGGAGAGTGACACCTTAAGACTACGCAACATGATGGTTGCTGAGGCATCTGCGCTGTGTGCTCGAAGGAGCAGGAACGGCGCTGACCATCAACAGCGATCCTCCTGGTCGAGCCAACCTGCTGTCGCGGCTGTGGGCGCGTGCAGCGAGTGACCATGGTTCCAGGGCTAACTACTTGTAACCCCAATGAAGGTACTTATAACCCTACTTGCTAAGTCCCATGATCCTCCAAGTAGGGATTTTTTAAGGGTTCAGGAGTTGAGACATCAGGGCTCCCCCAACGGTGCCCCAATGCCTGCTCAGCCCGAACTTGAAGCCGCGAGGCACGGCTGCAGGATTTAACGTTATCAACAAAAGGCAAAAGCCAGAAAGTTGGAATATGATTATCCTAACCCTTCTATGGTAAATTATAGGGTATCCTACCATGAAACCATATTCCAACTTTCTGGAGTTCCCTAAATGGGAGTTTCCGAAAGTAGGGGACCGTAATATAGCACCCTAGATAGTAGGATCCCTATAATAAGGACCCCAAACTAAAGTACCCCTAATTTTCGGAAACTCCCCAAATAAACATTTTTGCAAATGTAAGCCCGTTATCCGACAACCACTACAATTACCACAAAACCCTGTCTGCCCTATGGGTATACACCCTGTATTGGGATTTAGGCTTTAGGGCTTTAGGGTTTAGGCTTTGGGGTTCGCAGCCTGCAATACGATGCCTGCTTGCCAAGCTAATCCGCGAAGCAAAACCCTTGTCCTGGCTCTCAGATGGATTTCTCCCCGATCCTCCGGCAGTTCCAGGCACCACCACATGGGGCGTTTCGGGGGGAGCGGGCTTTTTGTCCCAGCTGAGGGGTTTCAAGGTGCATAAGTTTTGGGAAGCTGTAAGGATGCTAAAAATTCTAAACCCGGAACCCTTAAACCCTTAAACCCTCAACCCTTGAACCCTCAACCCCTAAACCCTAAACCCCTAAACCCAAAAAAAACAACTAAACCCCCAAACCCTGAGCCCCCAAACCCTTAAGCCTTTAGATCCTAAGCCGGGTTCTCGAGGCTTACTGCCAGAGTTCGGGGTCTTGAGGCTTCGAGCTGAGATTGCTTCTGGTTCAGAGATACAGGCTTCAGCTGTTTCGTCCCAATGCCGGATGTAGGTGTTCGGCTGCTTGGAGGATCATGGGACTTAGTAAGCAGGGCTATAAGTTCCTTAATTGGGGTTATAAGTAATTGTAACTGTAGTTACTGTACCTTACTTAAGACCCCTTACCAAGTCCCATGATCCTTTAAGTGCAGACGAGGCAGTGACAGTGATCTAAGCTGGGCAATTTCTGCACCCCGCATCCTGAAAGCCTTGAGCCTCCCGAAAACCCGCCATCCTACACTCCTAGCCGCTAAAACCCAAAGCCTTGTAGCCTACCGTGAACTCTTCCTTGAGTATTGAGATGCGTGTTCGAATTCCACGGAGTGGAGAGCTCCAGATGATTCGTGTATTTTTGTCAGTTGTGGTTTTCGGTGTTCGCCCTGACCATGTTTCCAACCTAGAAGCTTGAACACTGTAACTACCAATCTGCTTGTAATTCCTCAGGGTTATCGTATAGTTATGTTTCGGTGGTGCTGAGATCTATGAGCACAGTTGACCTTTAAATCTTTCTTTATTACAGCGCAGTGTCCCAAACTTAAAACCCCTAAACCCTAAACCCCTAAACCCAAAACCCCTAAACCCAAAGCCCCTAAACTTGTGAACGTTTATTTGGTATTTACTATCTCAACATACAAAATTAAAAAGCTGGAAAGAAGGTAAACTAAAGCTACAGGGAAAAGGTAGAAGAAAGGTAACCATATCGAGAGAAGGTGAAACAAAGCTACAGGGAAAAGTTGAAGCAAAGGTAATCATATGCAGCAGCAGCAGCAGCAACAACAACAACAACAACGACAACAACAACAACAACAACAACAACACCAACAAGTTCGCGAAAGTACTTCAGTACCACAACGACAACCACAACGATTCAGGACAACTACTTTTAAGTTACGACTAGTTACTAGTTACTCGTAGCTTGTCAGGACTACTGACTGCTGTTGCAGCTGACTTGAAAAAAACAGCTATGTCTCTGCTCTGTTCCAGCCTGGGCGTTTCGCATCCACAGGCTGCCTCCCACTCCCTTCGCACCCTCCCCACCCCTCCCCTCCCGGACAGGCTGGCTGGGGTTGACATTGCTGAAAAGCCGTCGCAAAGCTGTCCCAACCCACCGGGGCCCCCCCCCCCCCGCGCCCGCGCCCCCCCGACGCCCAGACTCCCCCGCACCCGCGCCCCGCGTCGCCCCCGCGCCCCCGCGCTCCCGCCCGCCACTGGCTTTGTGTCACCTTTTCCGAGCACCTTTTTTCCAGCTTTTTCCGACCCCCGACCCTCCCTCTGGAAAGTTAGCTTTTCCTAGGGAAAAGCTAAAAGAAAGGTGAAAAAAAGCTAAAAAAAAGGTGAAAAAAAGCTAAAAAAATTGTGAAAAAAAGGTACAAAAAAGCTGGGCGCAGATTCAGAAGGTAAAGAAAAGGTGGACGGAAAAGCTGGAGCAAAGCTGGCCTGCAAAACCAAAGCTGAAAAAAAGGTGCCCGGAATAGCTGGAGGCCAAAAAAGCTGCCAGCAAAAGCTGCAGGTCAGGCCCTGTGCACGAGAAAAGCCTTCCCTCCTCTCCTCCCCTCCCCCTCCTTCTCTGCGGAGGGGAGGGGAGGTGAGGTGAGATTCTAGCTTCAGAGCTAGGGAGAGAAGGGGAGGGGACTGAAGGATTTTTCAGACAACTATAATTATAATTAGTCGCATCCCGACATATATGTCTTCCAGAAATATAAACTGTCAGCAGACGCGCGTGTGACCGCATGTGACTGGTTGTGACTTTCGGCTGTGTCAATGTAGTGAGTTTGCTTCAACATTCAAACTCTACCTGCTGCTCCTCAGCTCGTCACCTTTTCCAGATACCCTTTCTTGACCTCTCTCTTGATGTGTTACCTTCTTGTCAGCTTTCTCAGTTACCTTTGTTTTACCTCTCGTTTGCTGTGTCACCTTGCTTTCAGCTTTCTCAAATACCTTTGTCTTAGCTTTCCATTGCTGTGTTACCTTTTTCTCAGCTGTCTCACATACCTTTCTTTTACCTTTGTTTCACCTTTTTAATTATTTAAGTGTTTATAATAAATACCACCAATACACGTTCACAACCCTAAACCCTAAACCCCTAAACCCAAAGCCCCTAAACCCAAAACCCCTAAACCCAAAACCCCTGGGACCGCGATAAAAGGAGCCCTCCAAGGTTCCCAGTGCTAAAGATCGCGGCCCTTGGTTTCAATCATTTTAATTTTGCCCCATGTATCCCGAAGCACCAAACCCTATAGAGCTGAATCACACGCCTACTCTGTGAGGGATTCCTTCTGCGTGATGGAAAAAGGCGTTCAAAACCAAAAAGAGCTGAATCCGTGGAGGAATCCTAAACAATAAACCCATAAAGGAGCTCGGTATTTTTTAAGTTTGAACCGTTGCCTGCAGCCAGGACCGCAAACGTCTGGACGAGGAGGGGTGCTTGAGCCTCCAAGAATGACCCCGAAGCCTGGAAGGACGATGTATAGGATCTCCGAATATTGAGAGCTTTTGAACGGGAGATAGAGTCGTGCTGTCTGCAAATAATTAGCATAATTATAGTGGGCCCTCTAATAGGGCCCCAACCCGAAACCGTCCCTAAACCCTAAACCCGACTTGGAGGGGCAGGGGACTTACTACCAAGCAATCCTAAACCCCAAACCCCATAGATCCGTTTAAGGAACCCTATGGATCCCTTTAAGGAGCCCTTTAAGAGCCCTTGCCAAGTCCCCTGCCCCTCCAAGCAATCATAGTAGACCCCTGATGAATAACAGAGGCCCCCTGCTGCAAGAGCGGAACCCCAGGAGCCCCACCCTTTGACAATGCTGAAGGGTTTAGGGTTTAGGTTTAAGGTTCGGGGTCTAGGTTTAAGGTCAAATTTTGGGTTTAGGGTCAGGGCTTAGGGCTTAGGGCTGTGCGTTGATGGTTTAATTAAGGTTTTGGCTTAGGATTTAAGGTTTAGGGTTTTGGATGTTGGTTCAGGGTTTTGGTTTAGAGATTTAGGGTTTAGGAGTTTAGGGTGTTGGTTTTCGGTTCAGGGTTAAGGGTTTAGGGTTTTGATTTAAGGGTTAGCTTCTTTATCTCGTTTAAGAGTGTTCAGTGTTTCAGTGCCCGGTTGCCTGAACCCTTGTAGTCCTAAATCCCTAGGCCCTAAGCCTTCCAGTGGGCAATTTCCCCTTTTTGTAGTCCCAGGATCCTTGTAAAGTTACCCGATACCAAAAATGGAGGCTTTGGTATTCATAGGTTACTACGCATCCTAAATCCTAAACCCTAAACCCTAAACCCAAAACCCTAAACCTTTGATGGCTGAAAGCGCAACCCTAAATCCTCAAGGCGCAGCCTCACAGTCCCACACAGGGTTCGTTCCTTAGTGCAACCTTACCTACAGTCTTTGTTGTAGTTTTTCGCTGAAGCCAACTGGAGTATGGCTTATAGATCTTATATACTGCAACATTGGATAACACAGAAAAGGAGATAGAGGTATTAAAACACCGGGACCCTGAACTCGAAACCCTACTGAAAGGGTACCCGAATAGTCCTAAAGTGTGTAGGGTTTAGGCATACTTAGGTCGGTTACATCGAGCCCTCTCGGGTACTCCAAACCCTAAGCCTTAAACCTCCGAAGAGAGCCAGCGAGCCGCAGGAGTTGAGCGAGGGGCTCCGAGAGGAGACCTGCTTTGGGGCTTAGAGATTGGGTTTGGGTTTAGGGGTTTAGGGTTTAGTTAGGGGTTGAGGGTTTAGGGTTTAGGGGGTCCATTTCGGGTTGCTTTAGGTTTCATGGTTAACGGCGGCTTAGGGTGGGAGGGTTGTGGGTTTCGGGTTCTGGGGCATAGGATTTAGGGGTTTAGGGCCGGGCTAAGGGTCCTACCGGGGTGCGAGGCACTGAGTTTCGGGTTCAGGGCGCTATTTGTTTCGGTGTAGAACTGGGGTTTCCTCTACAGGGGTTCTATATGAGGTATGGGAAAGGGCTTTCAGGGTTAAAAGTTTCGGGGTGCAGGTTTGTGGAATGTTCGGGTTTCAGCTTCAGCGGTGTAGCGCTCGGGTAAAGAATACTTTACCTCCTGTTTTAGTAGTTCTGGGGTTGTAGGGTCGAGTGTTTAAAGGGCTGTAGTGGTTCCGCTTCGAGGGAGGGTTATGCACAGGTGCGTTAGCGAGTTGGGTTCAGGAAACGCTTTAGGGCCATTCTGATCTATTGCAGGGCATGCCGCCTTCATAGCTTGCTTTGTGTTGTTCTTTACCCGCGGGCTTTGCAGGTGGATTTTGAGATATATACATAGCGGGCCCCTTGATTCTGCAGTTTGCGCCTGGCTGCTGGCGTCCAGCGGGGTTAGCAGTAGCAGTAGCAGCAAGATGCGGAGGAGATGCACAAGCTGCGCCGGGACTGTGACATGGGTGAGGTCAAGCAGATGCTGGAGCAGGTGGACAGTCCGCTCCGGAGGGCTTGAAATGAAACCGTCCTGTGGGCTCAGCACATACTCAATCTGTAGGGTGTCATGCCGGCCATCTTTGTAGCGACGCCCACCTGCCGTCAAAACCGCACCAAGAGACCAGAATCAATTACTGTAACTTGTATTCTGACATCACAGAAAGACATGTCGATGGTGTACACTGGGTACACCGTATCTTGCTTTATGGAAAAGACTCCTCCCTGTATCATATCATATGTTGAAATACGCTGCTTGGCTTCAAGGGTGTCGGAGTCACTGTGTGGTTGCTTAGCCACAAACCCAACGCCCGAATCCTGAACCCAGTAATCTCTAAACCCTGCACCGTCCCGAAACCCTAAACCCTCCCGTGCTTCAGGTGGATTCCAGCAGAATGCTCCGGGCCATCCGTGAGTGCAAGGCTCATAGGGTTCCTTTAAGACAATGGGTTCAGGGTTAAGGAGCAATTATAGGGTTTAGGGTTATAGTATACTGTACAGTTGGGGATAAGATGATCCTCCAACGAAGTGACAGTTCAAACTTCACTTTATGATCATGAAGTTTATGACTCTACTAGTTAAGAGACAGGTTCTCCGAAGGGCGTTGCAGGGTTGGTGTTTAGGGGTTTAGGGTTTATGCTTTAGGCCCTCTAGTTCTTTCGGGTTTTGGTTTTGTGTGATAGACGCGTCCTTTGGGGCTTAGGGCCTTGGGGATCGGGGGCTGTGTGGTTTAGGGTTGTGCAAAGCTCTCCCAGCTCCAGCCGAACTTCCTTGAAGGATTAATCTTAGGGTTTAGGGTTTCGGGTTTAGGGTAAAGTTTAATCTGTTGTTTTTGTCTCCAAGTTTCTTGGGATGCTAGAACTGTATGTATGACTCAAACAAGTAGGTTCCGGGTTGTCATGGCTGTCATGCTTGTTGTTGATCCAGCGTGTGCTTGCTTTCCGGGAGAACCTGAACCGGCTTGCTTTCGGGGAGAACCTGAACCCTGAATCGTAGTTTGTGCTAAACCCTAAACCCTATAAGCCTTAGACATACCCTAAACCCTATAAGCCTTAGACATACCCTAAACCCTATAAGCCTGAGACATACCCTAAACCCTATAAGCCTTAGACATACCCTAAACCCTCTAAGTCTTAGACACTGAACCCCACCTGGAGATCGAGACTTTCCCAGGAGATCGAGCTTAGGCGCGGGGAGCCTCGCCCTTCGCAGCCGAAGCGGACCTCCCAGAGACTCCAATATCCCTTAATTAAGGAATATTCCTTAAATCATATATGGGATCCTCCTATAATTTAAGGTGTATTCCTTAATTAAGGGGTTTTGGAGTCTCTGGGCTTGCAGCCACCGCCGGGGCTGCTCCTGGCAGCGCCAAGGGCCATGGCGAGGACGTTAGTGATGCCCGCACCGTCTTCAAAGATCATGACAGCGAGGGGTCGAGGTACAAGGAGTGGAGGCAAGTGGCTCTCGAGTCTCAGTCTTATTCTTGTTCAGACTGGCCGCTGGAAGGACCTGCTGGCAGAGTAGCAAGGGGGGCCATCAGGAGAAAGACGAGGCGTTCCACCTCTGTTTTCGCGGGCAATTCCGCTTGTGGGCACCCGCGGGCATTGCCGCAGAGAAAATGCAAGCTCTTCCCGCCTTAGGTGTATGAGGGCTTGAAGCTGCAAGGATTGTAGTGTGTTGGGTTTCGGAGTTTAGGGGGTCCGAGATAATTTGCAGATGAAGGCTCAGAAAGGATTTGATGTTTCGTGTGTACGTGCATGTGCACAATGTATGTACACAGGGGACCCTAATATAGCACGCTAGATAGTAGGATCCTTATCATAAGGACCCCGAAATAAGGTACCCCTAATTTTCGGAAACTTCCATTTGCTTCGACACATTCATAAGCACCGGGCCGGGGCGACCCTCGCGTCTGGCTCCAGATCTGGGGGCCCGACAAAAACAGCTACTTAAAGGATCATGGGACTTAGTAAATGGGCTTATAAGTAAGGTAACTACAGTAGTTGTAACTACTTATTATAACTCAGTTGACGTACTTATAACCCTACTTGCTAAGTCCCATGATCCTCCAAGTAGGCGAATCCGATCGAGGCATCCACGAAACCGGCTTTGTTTGCCCTGGCTTTCGCGGGGGCTTTCTTTCGTTCTAAAGGCACCTAGGAAGGCTCGAGTATGCGTTTAGGGTTTAGGGCTTAGGCCGCAGAACCCACGCAATCAAGGGTTAAGGGCCCTGAACTACCAGAATTTTCCATAAACTTACTAACTGAACGGATACACTTTACACTTTTGGGGGATAATATTACCCACTATAAAACTGAAAGTGTACACTTTTGGGGGGTTATGAATTCAGCAACTAAGTAAACAGTTTCCTTGCCACGACTCAGACCCAGGGTATACCCCAATATGATAGGGGCCTTAATAATTAGAATAGGGTTTTGGGGGATATTCTCCTATAAGTATAAGAAGGAACCCCGAAACAGTATTGGTCAAATTTTACTTTAACCCGCCGTACCCTACCTTATTAAGGACTTATAGTAACAAATCATATTAGGGAGCCCCAAAAAGGTAGGTTTCTTAGGGTCCAGGTTTTATGAGCACACCCGTAGCCGCTGAACCCTAAACATCCCTAAACCCTCAACCCTACACCTGGGTGGTTGTCAATATTAGGGTTCCCTTTGGGTACTTAATACTATAAATACGGCACCTAATATTTAGGGTACCCAAAAAGGGACCATAACTTTGACAACTACCCACTTAAACCTCGAAGCGCCTGAACCCTACGGGCACACATGCTATTTTTTTCAACGGGCCTGGTGAGATTTTCGACTTCGAGTCCCCTTGGCCCTCACATTGAACCCTTATTCAATATGGGAGTTCCCGAACATAGGGGACCCCATTTTAGAATAGTAGGATCCTTATCATAAAGACGCCCAAATCAGGTACCCCAATTTTCGGAAACTCCCATATTCCCAAACCATAAATCCTGCCTGCAGCCCCAAGAACCTAACTTTTAAGGATTCCTTTCTACGGCTGTCTTTCTATAGTTCCTGAAACAAGGTAGGTTTCTGGGGCCATCGGTGAACCCTGAACCCTAATTCCTACCCTTAAGAGTTTGGGGGTTCCCCGGACCCGGAACCCGAACCCTTAAACCCCGATCTTTAGAATCCTTAGAGTTCTGATGCGAGTATAGCTTCGGGGCAGTCATTGGCCTTGGGGCTTCCATCTCCAATGTATCTAGTCGTTCTTATGTCCTTTTGGGTTCCTTCAAGGGAGTCTCAAGGGTCCCTATAAGGGTCATAGGGATGTAGAGTTAGGGGTTTAGAGTTTAGGGCTTTAAGGGGTTTAGGGTGTAGAGTTTACAGGTTTCGGGTTTAAGGGTTTAGTTTTCGGGGTGTTGGGGGTTTGTACAATATCCCGAGACCCTCCCTGCAGTGCAGATAATTATATAAGGGGATTTAGCAAGTTGGCTTTGAATGAGGTTGAAAGCAGGGCCATCTCCACTAGAGTAATACAGAAGCATGAAACAATTACCCTGCACTGATATTCCCTAGAGTTTCTTCTTACATTTTTCAACTGTATAACGCTTTAGGAATGGCAGGAAATAACAGGAGCTCTCATGCTCATAAACCTTTCAACGCCTATCAGTACACTCGAACTTCCGCTTATCGAACGAATAGAGCCATCATCACACGGACGTCAATGCATGCTTGCGGCCATCTCACGTATCAGAACAGAACCTCAGGCGTGAGAGAGTCTGGCACTTTGGCACCGGGTTCACTTCGGTTCGGTATGGGTTTGAGGTCTAGGCATCATCGCTACAGCACTTTCGGGTGCATGTGTCTACGATTGAGCAGGTGCAGTGAAGTTGCTTCGGTTTGTGCTGGCAAGTTCCGATGCTCGTGTCGAAATATGCAGGTTTGTGAGTCTTGCTGTTATGCCAACCTACATATCATTATCGGCTCGAAGACTTTTGCTCTTCAGACGGCTACACGCCTGCTGCACATAAGCCAAACGAAGCACTTCGCCGACGGTGCTCGTAAGTATCACTGCCCATGCGCACGCATGATTCGCTGTCGGTTGTCTAAAGGGATAACATGCTCGGGCCCCTATACTTTTCAGCAGCCCTGTATACAAGCCAACCCAAGGAACCGCCAAGCAACACCGGGCGGATAGGGCACCAGAAAGGGCAACAAGTTCTTGGCACACTGGTCTTCCGTGGTCTGTGTGTGTGTGTGTGTGGCATAGTGCGTTCGGAAGCCATCTAAAGTTTTTAAAGATTACCCAGAGGCTCCAAAGTCGTTCCTTTTGGGGGTTACCTCATAAGATTCGAAATATGAAGCCCAAAAAGGAACTACTATGGAGCCTTCGGGTAAAGGCTGGTAAAATGCAGAGGAACACACAGTTGCTACATTCCTGGAGTTTGTGGAGCGGCGTGAGTCTGCACGAGATAAGCAGGCGTCTGGTGCTTTACATATGTACCGTTTTGCATATGCCACTTTGTATGACATGTGTATATATATGTATGTATATATATGTATGTATGTATGTATGTATGTATATGAAGGACGGCTTTTATTTGCGTCTATTCTACAGTACTTTGAAACGAGATACCTCCGTGCAGTATCTTTGTTGTCGGAACTAGCCCTACTAGGGGAACGAGATAGGGGCACCGCTTCAAACGAGATCAAGTATATCTAGTACTAACGATACTTGAACGAGATCGACTTTTTCTGCCAGTATTTAACATGATGAAACGACATAGGGGCACCGCTTCGAGATAGCGTAATTAGCCCAAGCAATAAATAAACGCAGTGGCTCATATGTATACTCTGTATAAGTATATATATATATATATATATATATGTACATAGATATTAGTAATAGCCGGAACCCCTGAAACAAAATAGAAGCTAATCAGCTAATCCCTGACCCTATAAAACCCCTCTCGTTGGTCCTGATCTTCTGATTCTGGACCCCAAACGCTTTAGCCGCTAAGGCCAGAAAGCAGCGAACCCCAAAAAACCCAGAAAGACTTGAGATGTAAGGGTATAGGGTCCAAGGTGTAAGCTTCAAATGCGAAACCCTGCCAGGAACAGGACAGCGTAACATACAAATCCAAACCCTAAACCCTAGCATACAAATCGAAGCGTTGAGCCTTTTAAACACAAACATAAAGTAACACAAAACTTGCGGCGAAGGTGTCCTCTGATGATCTCGCACCCATCCTAGAAGAGGTGATCAGGGGTTTATAGACTTGAAAAAGGGAAGCACTATTCAGAAGAGCGTTTTGGATGATATTATCGTCTGGTATCACTACATTAATATCGACTATTAATTATCCAACTTTGTACAGCTTTTCATATGTTGAGGCTTTGCCAGACACTCCAAAGGCCTTTCATCAAGGAGTATACTCCAGATTCTATGGTGATACAGAAGACGGAGGTAATTTGCTTGGGACATGGTGGGTGGGGGGTTTAGTGGTAGTCTTCACGAGTTGTATAATAAAGGTTTATAAGGGTCTCATAAGGATGCTTTCAATGTTCAGGGTCATAGGGCCTCTGCCGCGGATTCCGAACGCGAACTCTGAGGCTTGATAATGATTTCCTACACCCTGAACCCTAACCCCGACACCTTGGTGCTTCGGGATGCAATTCAGCTCTCAAGGGGCCTGCTCCGGCTGCTGGAGGTTTAGGGTTTCGGGTTTGGGGCTCGGGGGTTGGGGCCGAGCTCACACAGATCAAGTTCTCCTCACAGCACACGTCAAGGTTTTGGGGCCCCACAATCCTAAACCCCAAGCATACCGATAGTCTCCATTGTAGTTCCTTTTTTAGCTCAGCCCCCGGGAGGATCTAGAAAGTAGATCCCCTAATTTGGGGCCCTATACTACTAAGGGTACTTTATAGGAACCCCCATTAAGGGATCTACTTTTTGGATCCTCCCGGGGGTCCGGGTTGTTGATCGATGCAGGGTGGGGGGGTTGCGACTGACTGCGAGGTTGGAGCCCTTGAAGCCCCCATAGGGGACTTAGTAAGGGCTGTTAATAAGGGCTCCTTAAAGGGATCTATAGGGTTCCTTAAAGGGATCTATGGGGTTCCTTAAAGGGATCTATGGGGGTTTAGGGTTTAGGGTCTACTTGGAGGGGCAGGGGACTTAGTAAGTAGGGTTACAAGTAGAGTTACAAATACCCTAAATCGAGTTACCCCAGTTATGACCGTACTTATAAACGACTTACTAAGTCACTTGCCCCTCCAAGTAGGGGCCTAAATCATTGCCAATACGAATAATGGCCCCCAAAACCCGATTCTAATCGTTAAGGCCCGTATATTGTATAGTGTTTGTTTTACAATGCGACCCTTCAAATCCACTGGTTGTTGGTAGACGGATAGATATTCAAGGCTGAGGCTAGTTTCAGCTTGAGGGTAAGGTTTACAACTTCAGCATGTCAGAGCGGCTTGGGCGGGGGAGGTCCGGCGCTTGGCAGAGGAGGTGCGGCAAGCTCGGACTCTCGCCGGCACGTTTTGACCGAAGATTTAATTCTACAAAGCGGGCTTGGTGCATTGGGGAGCCATGTATGAGGAGGTTAAAGATGTTAAAGGCATGTCTGTTTTGGTGAGGTATGAAGTTTTCCGTGCTTTAGGTTTAGATGTGCTTCTTAGGTACTTCGCCAAAGGTTTAGGGCTTGTTGTTCAGACATGTGCCTAGTGTGGCACGTTTTGCAAACAGATTTCACTTCGGGTCGTTTGGTATGGAACTGTTGGCCACAGTGTCTGTACGCATCACGGCACAGGGAGAGAGGTTTTGGCTTGTGTTGTCGTTTTGGTCTTGCAGTTTAGGGCTTGAGCATTGAGGGTCTGAGCACCGGCTCGGTGTGCTACCGAGCGCTTGAGACAGACCCTCTCAGCCGTGGCATGATAGTTGAACCCGCGCATCGAACTACCGAACGCTTGAGACAGACTTGTTCAGCGACGGCATGAGAATTGAAGTCGGGGAGTTTTCATGCATCGAACCCTTCGACGCGATTCGCAAGTATGTGCAGCAACTGGGTGCAGAAACCATGCATTCCCTTTTCTGAAGTTCTGTCGCTGAGGCTCCTAAGCATAAACCCGCCAAAGCCTAGACAGCAACTCTGAAACCTTGAACGTCAGAGCCTCAACCACTAATCCTGAAACCCCTTCGTCCCCTTCGAAAAATACAAAATCAAATCCCTAGACAATCACACCGCTCATTGTTTGCCCTCAGAACCCTGAAACCCGAAACCGTATAGGACCTATGAAGGGGCCCTCGGATAGCTCCCATCGGGCCCGTTGCAATCTTAAAACTCCACACGAAACTCAAAGAAAACCTACAGAATCTTTTCTCACCTTACATGAACGAACCCTAAACCCTAAGTCACTAAACCGTATCTCTTGTAGGAAGCCTACATGCTAAATCCCTTCTAAAACCCCTGAGAGCCCTTGGAGGAACCCATACAACACCCTTTCGAGAACCCTCTGTAGGATGCCTACACCCTACGGTTAAGGTTTAGGGTTTAGGGTTTAGGGTTTAGGGCTAATATAACCCGCAGAGACCACGTTAAGGAACCCTTGAAACTTGAAAGCATCCTTCGAGGAGGTCATAACCCTTAAAGGCTTACAAAAAAAACCATACAGAACCCGTCAGTAAACCCTAAACCCTAAACCCTAAACCCTAAACCCTGCTGGAACTTCTGGAACCTGTAGAGGAATCCCATACGACCCCTCAGCCCATAAGGCCCTAAACCCCCAAAAGCCCGACATCACCGCTGCAAGCCGCAGAGCCCAAGCGGCAAACCCGAAACACAAAGCCCTGATCTTCCGTAGGGACCCCGAAACTCCCCCCCAAAAAGGCCTTAAAACAGCACTTGGAGGGGCAGGGGACTTAGTAAGTCGTTTATAAGTAGGGTTATGATTGGGGTAACTCCATATAGGGTACTTATAACTCTACTTAACTCTAATTATAACCTACTTACTCAGTCCCCTGCCCCTCCAAGCACTGAGGACCAACAGGGAGGCGCAGCAAGCGCAAACTGCTCTGCAGGACGAGGTGAGCAGCGCCCGCCTCCCAGCACTGGTTCCAAGCCTGGATAATTTGTCTAGCTAGGCCTTTGGGACATTGTATATTTTCCCTTGTTGGGCTTAATAGGACCCTATTTACGAATATATTTCAGAGGCTTGAAAGGGCCAACCTAGTTATCTTTAGTTTCAGCAATATTTCCTATACATTGCTTAACAAACATGGGCTTTTGGGTGCTTAGGATTTAGGCTTCTAGGAGACGCCAATAATCCCTCTCTTCATGCAGGAATATTCCTCACGTCAAATTAGGGATCACACTATTTATTCCTTAATGAAGGATGTTGGAGTCTCTGGGCAGTTTGTTTGGTGTGTTCAGGGTTCAGGTTCAGCCCCTTCCCGCTTGCCAAGCCTGGCGGAAGCGATGGCCGTTGTCATGACGGGACATGGACAAAGGTAGTGTAGGGGCCGTCAGACCCTAAACCCTAAACCGTTAGCATAGGGTTTGGGGAGTTATATTATACTATAATGATACTACATGAAACCCCCAAAACCCCATTCTAATTATGAAGGCCCCGATACTGCATGCTTGTAATTGCCCTTATAGTAACCCGTATAGACCCCCTAGACCCCTACATTAGTGTGCTGTCACTTCGTGACTCAGAATATAAGGTCGGAATAACACTACGGCTGATGATATAAATCCTGCATTACCTCAAGGACCCTAACGTTTAGGGAAGTATGGTATATTCCTTATCATGGGTAATGCAAGATTTACATCATCAGCCGTAGCAGCAATGACTCTGCCCTCTGGCAACATCAGTAGCCTTCCAGGGTTTGCGGTTCAGGGTTTAGCGTTTACTTGGAGGGCAGGGGACTTCGTAAGTAGGTTATAACTAGAGTTATAAGTACCCTAAGTGGAGTCACCCCAATTTTAACCCTACTTATAGCCGACTTACTAAGTCCCCTGTCCCTATTCTAGGGACACAACCACGAAGCTGACACCATCAATCTGCAGGGTGATGGTGTAATGAAGCTGACGATCAAAGCCGGGTTCCACACCCAAAAATTAATATTTGGGCACAAGGACCCTTAGGGATAGAGATAACAAGTTTAGGGGAGTCTTCAGGATTCAAGGTTTAGGGTTTAGGCTGTGTGCGCCCTCCCGCGCTGTTCCTCTTCTTGGTTCACCAGCTTTTCGACTTGGATCCTTCAATGAAATACGGGAAATACAGGAGCCAAAGACAGTTAGGCCATAAACATCCATAAACTCTTGACTCGAGTTCTGAAGTTAAAATGTTCAATGTAAAAGAAGGGTGACCAATAGACAAAGAAAGCCGTACAGAAAGTGTCCAGGCATCAGTGACTACAAACTACCAGGCTTCTGATCTTGGCGCCTCAGGAAAGCCCCAACGCAATGACCGATCACATGCATCCGCAGCCTGAAGAGGCCGTTCCGGACAGGGCCAAGCGGACCGTGAGCGTTCGTTGCCTGGCAGGTTCCAGCTTTGACCTGGAGATCGATTCTGCCGAAAAGGGGTGGGAAGTAGCCGAACGCATCGCCGCCGCAGTTGGCCACCCTGCAGGTTTACTTGTTCTGACATCCAGTGGCTGCGTCATCGATCAGTGCCAGCCCCTGCTGCATCAAGTCCAGCACGACGAGATCTGGTACGTGGTGCGGAGACTTGGCGCGGGTCTTGTCGCGATGCTGTGGGAGCACCTACTCGAGGAGAAGACCCTGTTTGATGTAGCTGCCCTGAACGAAACGATGTCACTCACATTTGGCCACGAGTTCGACCAGAGGTTGGATGGCATCCAACTACCCAGCAGCCTGCAGAGTTTGACGTTTGGCAACGAGTTCAACAAGAGCCTGGAGGGCATCCAACTACCCAGAAGCTTGCAGAGTTTGACGTTTGGCAACGAGTTCAACCAGAGCCTGGAGGGCATCCAACTACCCAGAAGCTTGCAGAGTTTGACGTTTGGCGGCCGGTTCAACCAGAGCTTGCAGGGCATCCAACTACCCAGTAGCCTGCAGAGTTTGACGTTTGGCGGCCGGTTCAACCAGAGCTTGGAGGGCATCCAACTACCCAGCAGCCTGCAGAGTTTGACGTTTGGCAACGATTTCAACAAGAGCTTGCAGGGCATCCAACTACCTAGCAGCCTGCAGAGTTTGACGTTTGGCTACTATCTCAAACAGAGCTTGGAGGGCATCCAGCTACCCAGCAGCCTGCAGAGTTTGACGTTTGGCGGCCGGTTCAACCAGAGCTTGGAGGGCATCCAACTACCTAGCAGCCTGCAGAGTTTGACGTTTGGCAGCGACTTCAACCAGAGCTTGGATTGCATCCAACTACCTAGCAGCCTGCAGAGTTTGACGTTTGGTGACATGTTTAACCAGAGCATGGAGGGCATCCAACTACCTAGCAGCCTGCAGAGTTTGACGTTTGGCCACTATTTCAACCAGAGCTTGGAGGGCATCCAGCTACCCAGCAGCCTGCAGAGTTTGACTTTTGGTGACGAGTTCAACCAGAGCTTGGAGGGCATCCAGCCACCCAGCAGCCTGCAGAGTTTGACGTTTGGTGACCAGTTCAACCAGAGCTTGCAGGGCATCCAGCTACCCAGCAGCCTGCAGAGTTTGACTTTTGGTGACGAGTTCAACCAGAGCTTGGAGGGCATCCAACTACCCAGCAGCCTGCAGAGTTTGACGTTTGGCAACGAGTTCAACAAGAGCTTGCAGGGCATCCAACTACCTAGCAGCCTGCAGAGTTTGACGTTTGGCCACTATCTCAACCAGAGCTTGGAGGGCATCCAGCTACCCAGCAGCCTGCAGAGTTTGACGTTTGGCGGCCGGTTCAACCAGAGCTTGCAGGGCATCCAACTACCCAGTAGCCTGCAGAGTTTGACGTTTGGCCACTACTTCAACCAGAGCTCGGAGGGCATCCAACTGCCCAGCAGCCTGCAAAGTTTGACGTTTGGCCGCCAGTTCAACCAGAGCTTGCACGGCATCCAGCTACCCAGCAGCCTGCAAAGTTTGACGTTTGGCCGCGACTTCAACCAGAGCTTGGATTGCATCCAGCTACCCAGCAGCCTGCAAAGGTTGACGTTTGGCCGCGACTTCAACCAGAGCTTGCACGGCATCCAGCTACCCAGCAGCCTGCAGAGTTTGACGTTTGGCGACGGGTTCAACCAGAGCTTGGAGGGCATCCAACTACCCGGCAGTTTGCGAAGTTTCACTTCATGCAGTTTTCGTGTAGACACGTGGTGAGCAGTGATGTGCTGGTGTGGCTTCGTCTTTTCGTCATGGTGAGGGCAACTGGTATTGTCTTCTTCCCTCCTTCCTGACTTCGTTGGATCCCGAACCCAGCCCGACCGCTGCAGAAGAGCTTGGAACAACAGGAAACCTAATTCTTGATGCCGCCCACCAGCCTGCTATGTTTGTTGCTGGCAACCCCAAACCCTAGACCCTAAGCCCTTATAGGCGCCCCTGGGTTCCTCATTTCTAGGGCACTATAGCTTGTGTGTGTGTTTTTTTGTGGTGGCTTTTAGAACCTGGTTTCTTTAAGAGGATTCTTAAGAGGATCCTTAAGAGGATCTATAAGGGTTTAGGGTTTAGGGGTTTAGAGTGAGTTTGGGGTTTAGGATTTTCGGAGTTTAGGTTTTAGGAGTGTGAGGTTTAGGGGTTTAGGGTTTTCGGGGTGTAGGTTTTAGGAGTGTGGGGTTTAGGGGTTTAGGGATTTCGCTGTTTAGGTTTTAGGAGTCTGGGGTTTAGGTTTTCGGGGTTGAGGGTTTAAGGTTTACGGAATAAAGGCTTGAGATGGCCGGGACCCCCTAAGTACCTTCTAGGGGTCCAGGGGCGCAAGGTCAGATTTAGGATTGAGATCACTTCCACAGAATCTTATACCGTGGTATATAGGAGCTTTCGAGAATAGTGCTCCCTAACATAACACCCTAAATAGTAGGATCCGTTTTGTAAGGATACCAAAATCAGGTACCCCTAATCTTCGGCAACTCTATACCCTTGTGGAGCCCTTTAAGAGAAGCCTCCTAGTACCCTTGCAGGAACCCTTGAAAGGAACCCTTGTAATACGTTACCCTTATTTTGTTTTCTTTTTTCGTGGCGCTCCAAAACTCCCTATATGGTTTTAATAAAGTGCCCCTAAACCAAAAAAGGGTACTACTCAGGAACCTAGTCAATGTAGCTATAGGTTGCTGTATAAAGGGCTTTAAGAAATGTTGACGGGGTCTTATTGACTTTTGCTGGGGTTAAAAACTCTATGGGATGACAACTCAAGGAATGTACCTGAAAACATGCTGGTATCCTTGATATGATTTCAGGGTACATTCCGAACCAGAGAATACTACAGGGCACCTTGATTCTTGGAGCACACCCTGATGGCCTTTAACTGTGGGTATTTGAGGTATATTAGACTTGGCTGACTTCTGAACCCCTCCAAAAAGTTAAACTTTTGGCCTTCTTACTTTGGTTCATATATAAACCCAAAAAGTTAAAGTCTAAAGAGCCAACCAGAAGAACGCCAAGTAGAGGGTAGCTGGGGGGGTCTAGGGAAAGTCGAAGACTCGCGGTGCAACAGGGTTTTGCGGCTTTAGCATGTGGAGTTTAGGGCTAGGGTTTAGGGTTTAGGATTTAAGGGCTAGGGATTTCAAGGAGATTCCAGTTTTTGGGCTTTTCGGTTGGGTGTTTTAAGTTCCCTGAGCCACAAACCCTAAAAGGCCTAAACGGCTAAATGCCTAGGCCCTCAATCCAAAACCTGAGCGGAAGTCCCCGCAAAGAAGCCCTACCGTCCGTGTTTTTTTGCGGGTTCTTTGAGTGTTTGAGTTTTGTGTGGTTTTCAACACTCCGTGTTGAGTTCGGGGTGTAGGGTTTAAAGTAGGGATCTGGACTGAAATTTTTGGAGGTTTAATTGTTAAGTAGCTTCTGCGCAGAGCCCCGCAAGTTTGCCGGCACGGGCTCTAGAGATTCCTGAACACTGTGGTGATTTTGATTTTCCCGGAAAACCTCTGAGCCTAAACCCTAAACCCTAAACCCTCAACACGAAACCCTAAACCCTAAACCCTAAACCCTACCCTCAACACGAAACCCTAAACCCTAAACCCTAAACCCTACCCTCAACACGAAACCCGGGTTGGAGCAGCTCCCCTTGGAACCTGCTTGGGTCAACCTGCTGCGGGCAGATAGAACCCTCAGGGTCCAAAGGACCCAATAATTAGGGTTCCTTTAAAGGGTTCACTACAAGGTTCCTTTTAAAGGGCTACTATAAGGGTTCTATTATATGGGCCTCAATAATTAGGTACTCGGTTTTAGGATAGTAGTTATGTAGGTTAGGATTTTGGAGAGTATATGACTTTTAGATACTTGGATCCTTGGAGGAACAGATGACAGTAGGAGTGCGTAGGTGCAAGGGCAGCAGCTAAAGGTTTTTGGCCGACAGTTTGCCTTTTCGCAACTGCCACCAGATGCGATGTCAAGCCAATTGCGTGGGATGTGTTTTGAGCCAGCGGGAAGGATCCCCGAATAACGAACAGACAGATCGATTAATGGGTGTTGTGTTCTGACTAGTTTAAGTTTCCTTACACGAGTAGCCCCGTTATGTAACACCCCTAAACCTTGTTATTGAAACCTTAATGGAAACCATATGGGACTTTCCCAAAACAGGGGACCCTAATATAGAATACTAGGATCCTTATTGTACGGACCCCCAAATACGGTACCCCCTGTTTTCGGAAACTCCCATATTAGCTCTCATGGTACCCGCGCAGCGGCCGGGTTCCGTTGCAGAACCTTTCTATACCTTGTTAGGAACCAGAGCTCCAAACCCCAAACCCAGAGAGCCCAATACCCCTTAATTAAGGAATATAGCTTAAATCATAAGATGAAGCCCTATATAATTTAAGCCATATTCCTTAATTAAGGGGTATTGGGCTTTCTGGGAACCTTGAAACCTAGATCCTAAATCCTTATAGGATCCATCTGACGGAAGCCCGAAACCCTTAAAGGATCCCTTTGTAGGAAGCCCTAAACCCTGATAATGGTTCCCTTTACAGGAAACCCTAAACCCTTAACCCTGAATGGGTCCCTTCAAAAGGAAGCCCCAAACCCTAAAGGCCTTAAACCCTTCAAAGGAAGCCCTACAGGCCCCACTTGGAGGATCATGGGACTTAGTAAGTATGGTTATAAGTACTTTAACTGGGGTTATAATATCTGTAGTTGCCTTACTTATAACCCCAATTACTACGTCCCATGATCCTTTAAGCAGACCCTAAACCCTAAACCCTTCTAGTATCCCTTATAGATTCCCTTAAAGGGACCCCTTAAGGAGCCCCACTTACGGATCCTTTAAAAAGAGGCCCTGAGCCGAGGTAAAGATGGAGCTGAGGTCTGCAAACCGCGACGTCTCCGTGGCCCTCTCCGCCATCAAGGCCGACGTCCGATCCTTTAAAGGGTCCCTTTAAAGGGATCTATCAGGGTTTCTTTTAGGGGGTTCCTTTAAGGGATCAAAAAGGATTCTTAATAAGGGTTCCTTTGATGGGATCTACAGGGGTACTACAAGGGTTTAGGGTTTAGGGTCTACTTAACACCCAGATTAGGGCTGAGTAGGTAACCTTCAACCTTTTGGGGCTCATGCAATCCTACTATAGGGACTACTATAGGGATCCATTCCCCCATCCCCCACGAAGCTCACGGGAGTTTTGGGGCTAGGTTGCACAGCCCCTCAGTTGAGACTTCTATCTGGGTTTAGGGGTTAGGGTTTAGGGTTCAGGGTTCAGGGTTCAGGGTTTAGGGTTTAGGGTTCAGGGTTCAGGGTTTAGGGTTTAGTAAGGTTTAGCCGCAAAAATCCGAAAAAGTAGATCCCTTGAGGGAGTTCCTATGAAGTACCCTCTACTCAAAGGATCATGGGACTTAGTAAATAGGTTATAATTGGGGTTATAAGTCCCCTAAGTGGGGTTATCCTAATTATAACCTACTTATAACCTTACTTACTAAGCCCCATGAGCCTTCAAGTAGACCCTAAACACTAAACCCTTATAGTACCCCTATAGATTCCCTTTAAGGGGCCCCTCAAGGACCCAAATTACTAAGTCCCATGAGCCTTCAAGTAGTGGTTAGGGTCCCCAAATAGGGGACCTGCTTTTTGGATTGACCCGGAGATGATTACGATGGTCCGCGGGGGGGGGGGGGGGGGGGGGGATTCCAAATGTTGTTACATCATAGTATATATATATATATATATATATATATATATGTATGTGTATATATATATATATATATATATATATATATAATTTGTATGTATATATGTATAGATAGATAGATAGATAGAGCCTCTTGGTATGGGTTCATTCAATAAGGGGCCTCAATCATGGGAGAACTATAAGACTTCAGTCAGGCTTTCGGGTTTAGATTGTGGCTCTCCCAGGATGCAGGAAGGGCAGCAGGGCTCTTAGGGTTTAGGGGTTTAGGGTTTAGGATTTAGGGTTTAGGGTTTAGGATTTAGAATTTAGGGGGTTTAGGGTTTAGGGGGTTTAGGGTTTAGGGTTTAGGGTAGGTTCGAGGTGCTTCGGGTTTAGGGTTTAGGTCTTCCGGTTGGTCTTCTTCCAGTTGAGGCTTTCGATGTTTTATAGGGTAGACGTTCCAGTTGATGGTTTTAGATCGTTCAGGGCTAGGGTAGAGGAGGTTTCGAAAAGGACATGATCATAAGCCGTTTACGGTATGTCCTTGCCTCACTGAGTTCCTGCCAGTAGTTACTAGTTGTATGGGGGATCGTTGCGGGCCGGCTCGCCCATGATTTTGCATTCCTCAAAAGCTCATGTGTCCATCCGACGTCGCATGTTCTCAGTCTTGCAGCGGGGTCATAGACCCCTGCAGGAACCCTTACAGAATCCTCACAGACCATCCTAAACCCTCAATTCGAAAGCCTCAGCCCTGAGCTTTGGACACGAACCCGACCCTCGTCGCACCTCTCATAATAGAACCGCTTACAAACCTATAGAATTCCTTAAACACCTTATAAACTTATAGAGTTCCTTAAACACCTTATAAAATTATAGAATTCCTTAAACAGGACGGCCAGATCGGAATCGACCAGGCGAAGCCTTAGCGGAGAATAGGAGGGCTTGGGGATTAAAGCAAAAGCCAGAAAGTTGGAATATGATTCTCCTAAGCCCTTTATAGTAAATTATAAGGTATCCTACCCTGAAACCATATTCCAACTTTCTGGCTTTTACTTTAGGCTTAGGGTTTGCAGGCTCGGGCCGTTCAGGGTTTGTTGTTTCGGACGGAAGAAAGGGGTGGGGTTGAAACTGGAGTCCAGAGTTTTAAATGATCAGGGCCTGGTGCTGAGGGTTTCGGTTCTCTGAAGTAGTAGCGTTTTGTGTATACTATGTTTGTTTATATGCACCTACGTCTGCATACATGTATGTAGATATTCATCTTGATTTCAAGTGTTTGGCGTTTAAATGGTTGTAAAGCGGGGATTTAGGAGGTTTGAGTTATAAGTTTATGGATGGTCTTCGACCTTCACTTCAGGGCTTGAGATTGAAAGTTCAGATTTGCGACACCAGAGATTAAAGAGTAAAGTTTCCTGGGATAGACGGCTTCCGTGTGTTATGTATAGTGTGTGTTTTGTGGGCGTGAGAAAGAATGATCGGGCTTATACGTTTATGTAGGGATTAGGGCTTCGCGTTCAGGCTGTAAGGGTTTAGGGTCAAACCGACACATTTATGCCATGCAGTTCATTTCATGGGCTTTAAGGCCCGGGGTCACTAAACCCCTATAATAGCCCTTATAGTAATCCTCATAGACCCTTTCAAAAGGAGCCCTTGAAAGGATCCCTTACTAAGGCCCCTGTGGGGTTTCACGGTACATGCTTGCAGGGCTGCCGGCTTCGGTTCAGTTTAAGCTGAAGCTCCTCCTCACCCTCCGACCCTTTCTCTAAAGCCCCTCCGAAGCCTATACCTAAACCCTAAACCCTAAACCCCCGAATAGGCCCTCAACCCTACACCCTCAGCCCTAAGGGAAGCCTCAAAAACTTAGGGGCTGAATAGGTAACCTTTAACCTTGTTGGGGTTTATGTGATCCTACTATAACTCAAGTGGTGAACCTTTTTTGGGGGCTACGGTACTCAGCCCCTAAGAAAATGGGAGGTGCTTATGATAAGGATCCTACTATTCAGGGTGTATGACATTAGGGTCCCCTATTTTCGGAAACTCCCAAATGGTTCTCTGGGGCAGGTCTGGAAAGAGTTCAGCGTCTTGAAAGAGGCGCTGAAGCGTGGGCTCCTGGCCAGACCTCCACCCGTTCGAATTCCATGTACAGTAGCTCGTAGAAGGAGAGCAAGATGTACTGTAGCAGGAGTCGTAGTAGTAGCAGTAGTAGGTAGTAGCAGTAGAGTAGTAGTAGTAGTAGTAGTAGTAGTAGTAGTAGCAGTAGCAGTAGTAGTAGTAGTAGTAGTAGTAGTAGTAGTAGTAGTAGTAGTAGTAGTAGTAGTAGTAGTAGTAGTAGTAGTAGTAGTAGTAGTAGTAGTAGTAGTAGTAGTAGTAGTAGTAGTAGTAGTAGTAGTAGTAGTAGTAGTAGTAGTAGTAGTAGTAGTAGTAGTAGTAGTAGTAGTAGTAGTAGTAGCAGTAGTAGTAGTAGTAGTAGTAGTAGTAGTAGTAGTAGCAGTAGCAGTAGTAGTAGTAGTAGTAGTAGTAGTAGTAGCAGTAGTAGCAGGAGGAGTAGTAGTTGCAGCAGCAGGAGGAGGAATAGTAGTAGAAGGAGTAGTCGTAGTCGTCGTCGCCATCGTAGTCGCAGTCGAAGCGGAACAGCAGCAACAAAAAAACAAGGTAGAAGAGGAGTTGAAGCAGTAGTACTTTGGATAGTTCTTTGGGTGCGGCTTGTGGTGTAGGTAACATTAGTGTAACATTGCGTCTGTAGGGTGTCGAGGATATCATTTCTTGTTCCGGGGGTTGTGTCCGGTCAGGAAGCGTCGGCTGCTCCCGCCGTCTTCTATGTCTGCATCCCGCGGTAACCCTACACCCTGACGATTCGAAGCCAGCCTTCACCCTCCAACCTGAACCCGTCCAAACCCTAAGTGCCAGCCCGGAACCCCGAAGCACACGACCTCTCTAATCTATAACACCCTGTAAGAGCCGTAAATAAACGAACAACAGGAACCGTCAAAGGCGAGGAACTGCAGGGAACTTCTCTGATCCTTGCTTAAAACCGAGGCAGATGAGCCAACAGGCCAGCAGCTGCCTGCTTGGAGGATCATGCCGGTTTAGGGTTTCATTGGGGTTTATAGAAATTGTTAAGGGTTTGGAAGCCAAAAACGTTTGGACCGAAAGTTTTGAGCGAAACCTTTTGTTTTTTCTAACTTGGTTACGACGTGCAATTCACACATGGTCTCCATCGTAGTTCCGTTGTTTGTCGGTTTCCTTGTGGGGTCCTGTTGTGCAGATCGGTAGGACCATTAAAAGTTAGGGCCCTATACAATATATAGTATGAGCCCCTATATGGTATATGAACCTTAAACCCTTTTAGGGTTCATTTCGCCCTTAAGGAACCCTGAACCCTTCCCCACTTGTTGTTCCTCGAGGCTCCCGAACTCCTCATTGGTTTTTGTTGCGGGCCCTTGAAGCCTGAACCCTACTTGGAGGATCATGGGACTTAGTGACTTAGTAAGTAGGGTTATAAGTACCTTAATTGGGGTTATAAGTCATTAGAACCGTAGCTACCTTACTTATGGACCCCAGTTACTAAGTCCCATGATCCTTTAAGTATTGCAGGTGTTATTCTTTTTACAGGCTCCCCAACTGCTCATTGTTTTTGTTGTAGGCCCCCAAACCCTCAACCCTGTTTAAGTCGTTCTTCCCCCAAGTGTCCAAGTATCTAATAATCATATACTCTCCAAAATCCTAACCTACATAACTACTACCTGTATCCCCAAACCTTACAAAATAGTAGGTTATGACCCCTTATTTGGAGTGTCTAACCCTTAAAACGGTAGGTTTCTTGGGACCGGTGGCTCCCCAGCTCCTCATCCCTAAACCTCGCGCTTTCATCTTTTGGAGGCCCTTTTTTCCCTAATACAGAGACTCCAATATCCCTTCAATACCTTAAGCTAAAGTGGGATCCCGAATATGATTTAAGGAATATTCCTTAGTTTCCCTTATAGAACCGATATAGATCCCTTCAAGGAACCCCTTAAGGAAGCCTTATAGGTATATTCCGAAATTAAGGGATATTGGAGTCTTGAGGACTGCCCTCCCTTTGCTGGGAGCTAGGATTAGGGGGACCCTTGGGGATATAGACCCTCTAAACAGGGCCCCTTTTAAGAGGGCCAGAAGTAGGGTTCAGAAGGGGTACCCTTTAAGGGGTCTCCCTAATAATACTACCTATTTGCGTCAGGCCACGACTTCCTCCGACCTACCGGCTGCTTTCCACGAGGATCCTTGCCGACCTCCTCGAATTGCCAAGACGGTTCTACAAATACTACCTTAACCCTACGTAACCTACCTTTTTAAGGACTTATATAAAGAAATCATATTAGGGAACCCCCAAAAAGGTAGGTTCCTTAGGGTCCAGGTACTTATTGGGGCTTTAGGGTATAGGGTTTGGGGCTACTTTCGGGTCTAAAGTCTATAAATACTACCTCGTTTGGGCTTTTTGGAGTCTTAGGGATATTGCAGGGGCATGGTGAGGTTTTCTGGGGTTTGCGAGTCTTGTAGAGATCTTGTAGGGGTTCTTAAGGCTTTGTTCTAGTGGCATCGAAAGCTAGTAAGAGTGTTCCGTCGGGTTCCCAATCACGAATATATCATATTATCGTGAAACACATCGCAAAAGCCTTTCCCGATTTTCAGCGGCCCGTGTGCCAGGTTTAAGGCGTGGGCTTGGCTAGTTGGGAAGTTTTCGATTTTGCTGGTTTATGTATGTTGCCAGACACAAGTGCGAACTTACTGGGGGTTCGGCTATGTTGAAAGAGAAACGTATATCTGAAGTAACTCTGGAAGTAATTTGTATCAAACCCCCAAGACGTTTCTGGAGAAGCGTCTAGGTCTAGGTAGGGTTGAAGCATGAGCTTTCCCTCGCTGCTTTGTCATTGTGGATTTGTCATGCACCCCTTTGTAGCCACACTGTATTTAGATGTCACGTAATAAAGAAGGATACACCAAACTTTACCCGGCGTTCCGTGAGGCAGTTGACGAAATCCGCAGCGTACGCACCGTCCCGGCCTCTTCTTCAGGGTTTCGGGTTTCACGGTTTAGGGTCTCGGGGTGTAGGGTTTAGGGGTGTTCGGGATCTGCTCCAAGTGGGCCTTCGGGCATCGTAGCCATGTGCTGTTGGAGTGGGGCCTCAAGTTAAGATAGGGTTCCTTTAAAGGGGTGTATAAGGGCTACTACAAAGGGCTATTATTCCTTAGTATAGGGGTGTTAGTAATTGGGACAGGGTTTGGGGTATATATATATATATATATATATATATAACAATTACAGGTTCAATAACTAATGCGGGATTGCGTGGAATGTCTCCCACCAGCACGTTGCACATCAGTGGTTTCAAAACGCCGGGCGGCACACCTTGGCAGCATCTGGGTTCCCAGCTGTCACGCCCGCCGAATGGCCAATCTTTGGAAGAAGAATCGTGAGAGAAGCTAAACCTTAAGCCGGAATAACCTACCTTTTTAGGGTTCCTTATTATGATTTCCTTATATAAGTCCTTAAACAGGTAGGTTATTCCGGCCTAAGGAATTTCAAGTGGAATTCCAATTCAGGCACATGAAGGGACACGGAATAGAGCTGAATAGGGTTTGGGTGTGCAATATCTTTAGCTCAAGACCCCGTTTCAACCTTTGAAAACTGCAAAGCCGAAGCCAAGAGCCGAAGGCCTGCAATTTATGACCGTGACCCGCAATCAACATGCCCACCTGCAAAACAACGTCCCAGAGCACTTCTTCAACCCCAGTGCCCCAACTCTGATATCGTGCTGCACTAGGATCAGCAACTTGTGGCAGTAGGGCACCGGAACCAAAATCTGCCCAAAGCCTAAACCTAGTAGTCGAGTAGGTAACCTTTAACCTTTCTTGGGTAGTATAGCCCCTATATATTCCCTATATAACGAAAACGGTTAACCTTTAGTTCGCCAAGATACCCGACAAGTAGGTAAACTCTCAACCCAAGATCTCCGTCACTCGACAGAAGCAACAAAGCTAGAGCATCACAACCCACCGACCGTATTCTCACCTGTAACCGGATCATCCCATTTCTGAGTTCCAGCGTTGAGGCTTCTATTGCGCAATACAGAGGTCAAAAAGGTTGCATGTAGAGTCCTTTTAGAAGTACACACCACGAAACCCTATTCCAATAAGCAAGGTCCCTACATTAAAACTCTTATGATAACCCTTATCGAGACGACTTGAGGAATTCGTAAGGTCCGTATATGACGGCTTGCTGGGGATTTTGGAGCTAGACAGGCAGTTGCCTCCATGACCAGCACTGTGCTAGAGGCTCGGACCACTGTCTCGTGCAGCTCCGAAAATTGTCCGAAGTCGTAAGTCGGGATGAGGGTGAGTAGAGCTCATATTGTTTAGGGTCAATACGGTTAAGGCCTTAGGGTGATTTCCCCTGAGTTTGCAGTGAGTTCAAAGTTGGATCATAAACCCTGAAGTTTGGGTTTTAAGCCCGTACATGATCCCTTTCAAGACCAAACCGAGCACCCGACGAGCTTACAGGGAAAATTCAATCTTCTCAGGGTTTAGGGGTTCAGCGTTTACGGGTTCAGGGTTCTTCGTGGGTAGGGTTGAAGTTGAAGGTGTTTCAGGTAGGAACTCTTATCCTAAAGCTCTTAAAGGGACTCTGGGTGGGTGTGGGTGGGTGGCTGCAGCAGCCCTGCCAGCCAACTGCACCACTGAGCAGTGGTGCTTTTATCCGACTGCAGCGCACATTTTGTACGACCTTCTACTTGGAAGGGCAGGGTACTTAGTAAGTAGGTTATAAGTAGGGCTATAATTGGGGTAACTCCATTTAGGGTACTGATAACTCTACTTGTAACCTACTTACTAAGTCCCCTGCCCTTCCAAGTAAGGTATGATGCTTTTTGATGCTGCTGCGTTTTTCTGGGTTCCAGTATGTTATCTGAGGCTTGAGCCTGGTACATGTCATACGGGTGAGGCACGGTACCGCTAAGACGAATATAGAGGTCTGCGGACATGATACAGACATGAATATTCATACCAGCGAGGAGGTAGAGGGAGACTGGGCTCTTGTTAAGGGGTTGAATTTAAGTTACCACAGTAAGGAAACATAAGGAAACCATATTATTTACTATTGTTGGGCTCTTGTTACGGGGTTTTTATGAACAAGGAAGCCATATTATGTACTATGGTGGTAGCTTAAGTTAAATCCTCTAACAAGAGCATAGGATATGCAAAGGGGCAAGGGCGAGTGACTGACCACGTCAACCGTCTTGCGGAGGCAGTGGATCTTGCTCCCATGATCTCAGAGATCCAGGCGCCAGGGCTTAGATGACTTGCAGCTCTGTTTCGTGTCAAAACATATGCGATGATGCAACCGGAAATGACGATGATACTGGTGATGAAAACAGCAGTAATGTTGAGATCAAGATGCAGAGGATGATTTTGGTTGCGATTGCGGCACATGGTCATGTCATCATGAGGCGGTTCGCATTGCTCGCAATGATGCCCTGCAGTGGAGATGATGATGATGATGATAGGCGCGATGATGAATGTCATCGTGCTTGCGAGATTAATTTATGATTGTGACGGATGTGCCAGCGATGATGACTCAGACAATTGCGCTTGCGAGGATGGTGGTGGATATGTTCGCGGCATGACATGTCTTTGACGATCATTGCTAGGCTCGTGCACTGCCAGGACAGGGTCTGGAATATGCACAAGCAGCGCCCCTGACACACTGCGCACTGCAGCTGCAGCCTGTTGCGATCAGCTATTGCGGCTCTTTGCAAGAGAGTCTCATTTGCCAGCTTGTCATATCCAGCCATGCTCCCTTGAATCCCAGCCGGTAAATCCAGTTTGCTGTGTGTGGCGACTTTCCGCTCATGGGGTGTACCGTGTCAGAAGCCTAGGCAAGACACGTAGGAGAGGCGGCTCCACTCGACCTGAAGCGATTTAACACCGATGCGCCTGTGTGTCCTGACTCATAATCGCCCTCAGCCCTTCAAACCCATTCTAAGCCCTGCTTCTCAAACCCCCAAACCCAGAAACCCTAAACCCCTAAACCCTTGAACTCCTAAACCCTAAACCCTGATATCCGTGGGTCCTCAAAACCCAGGATCAGAACTCTCAAATTTCGCCCACCTTGGCTCTTTCGCCTCACGAACTCGAAAACTTGAATACTTATGTAAATGTATGTATGCAGTCATGTATGTATGTATGTATGTATGCATGTGTACAGGTTTTCATGTGTGATTGGGGAAGTTGCACCGGATATGGATAGCAGGTTGACAACAGACTGTCAACCGCAATTAAGCCCCGCCAACTCCAGATTCTAAACCCAGAAGAATTTAATCCTAAGCTCTAAACTGAGCATCAAGCCTCAGATCCTTGTTTTTTGCCGTTATCGAGGCCCTGTAGAACCCGTATATAACCCATCAAACCTACGCCATAGCCTTGAGCATTCGTGCTGCCTTGGTCAGGCCGTGCGGAGCAAGGCCCGCCAATTTGCGTGCATTGTTCTTAGGGTGTAGTGTTTAGGGTGGTCGCTTGTAGGGTCTGTTTACAGAGCAACTAACCCAGAGAATTTCTGGGCTTCATCAGCCCTAGTCCTAGTCCTATAATATTGCACAGACTGGATTGGCTATAAGTTATAACTTGTTTGCCATGCAACTAAGCAGCCGGGCTTGGGTTCTGAGATGTTCTGTGGTCATTGGGAGCAATACCTTAGCAACCCTGGTTATGTCCCAGAAACACCAAATCCTGGGCTTGGGGTCAAAGATGCTCAAACACTCAAGCGTGACATTTCCGGCTATACAGTAATAGATCTGGGAACTGGCGTTGGTACTTTAATTAAGGGCCGGTGTGGAGGGTGGGCTTCGCATTCGGGCCCAAACTGTCATTTCAAGAATTGCTGACCGGATGAATTCCTAAAGCCTACATCCTTCCACGGCGCAATGAGAAATGATCAAGAGTTCCAAAGTAGACGGGGAGGCTTCTGCTGAAGAGAGTGAGAAACATCGGCAACCGTGGTTGTCACAGCTCCTGGCCAAGGGCCGAGAAAGTGAGCAGGAATATGACAAATGAGGAAACCGTCATTCGACAGACGGAGAGTGGAAAGCAATGCGTGCCACTCTCAGTGGTCATTGCCTCTGCTGCCAACACTTGGGAAGCTATATAATTATGTTGCCAAAACCCTTCACTCTGACCTCCAGTCGCCCGGTGCAATGTCGTTCACAGGGTGGTAAAAGCCTATGGCAGATCACGTGCGTGTGTCCTCCTACTCTTCGTGGTTCCCAATCTAAGGCGATGGGATCGTCGACTGTCATATTGTAGCTGGGAATATCTTTGGTGATGCACGAGCCGACCCAAGGAACACACCGAAGTCCTCTCGAACAGCAGCTGCCCAAAGCAAATTCTCAGAGGAGTCTGCGGGCAGCAATGGGGCAGCATTTGGGACATCTCAGGGAAAGTCACAACTTCGCTGATGACGCGGCAGCTGATTTCCCACAAGCCGTCAAAGAAAGTGCGCACGCCAAGTTGTTGCATGAGCAACAAGAGATTGGGCCCTAATAATTGGGCAGCTAGACGTCCAGGGGGGCTGGTGCGCCTGTGTGACTTGACGGAACGCTGAAGCATGGCTTAAGCCAAGCAGCTCTTGGCGGATGGGTGTCCAGTGCGCACCTTCTGAGGCTTGAGCATCCAGCTGCTGGTACAGTGTCGTTTAAGATAGACCTATATCGCCGACTATAGTCTCCATTGTAGTTCCTTGGTGGGGCATACATCATAGGATCCTAACAATTAAACCTGGTGAAACCAAACAATGGAGACTAGAGTCAGAGGGAGGGTCACATGTTTCATATGAGGCATTCCGTCCCTGAGGGTGGCATTCTGTCCACCGTTGTTGCCCTTGTTTCATTGTAGTTTTAGGAGTGGTCACCCGCAGCCCTACAAACTCTGTTCCCAGGGCTCCAGACCCAAGTACCCCGGTTGAATACATCCAGTCCCTTAACCCCAAAAAGCCCTAAAACCCTTCAAGTCTAAGAGTTACAAGCCGTACGGCCCTACCCATGTATACTTGCAGCATCCCTAATCCTATACCCTACATCTTATAAATACAAACCTGAATCAAAGAACTTATAGACCTAAAATCCCTTGAAAGCACACCCTCATAGCACAACCCTAACTCCTAAATTTCCCAGAACCTGATGCCACAGCAGCAGGTCGAAGTCTCCTCCGCATTGAAGCCACGAGCCCAGCTGAGCGGCAGCAGTCTGGATAGAATAGCCTAGGGCTCCAGTTACCGAAATGGGCTTGAGCTCGGGTTTGGGACGACAGGACGGAGATTGGCGCTGTGAGGGAGAGAGCTTCCTGTGCTGTAAGAGATGAATTAAGACGGTTTTCTGGAAAGCTTCAAGACGTTGGAATGTACTTCCCGGACAATGCTGTAATTAATTCCTGCAGACGGCACTGGGCTTAGGGTCAGGGAATTCATTTCCATCTTGTCTAGCCTGTATGTAAGCGAGATTGAATTTAGCGTGTGTGAAACCTGTGCCTGGTTTGGGTTTGGGCTGGACCGCAGTTGGCCGACCCCAAATCTCTTTAGCGCACACGACATGTTGATGCAATGCGTTGACGGCCTGAGCAGTCGAAGCAGATGCCGGTGATGCAAATGGTGGTGACATCATGCTTGAGATAATGACGAAGACGAATGCAATGATGCCGGCGATAGCTACGACTGTGACGAGGCACGCCTTGGACCCTGCAAGACATTTTTCGGTCCTTAAAATGTTATATAGGTGTACCACATCAAGGAACCCTGAGGAAGCAGGTTACTTGGGGTTAGGGTCACCCTAAACCCTAAACCGGCTGCAACTTGTCAAAGTTTCGGGTGTGGGGTTTGGATGTTTGTTTGCGTGCCAAGGAGACAGGGCGACCAGATGACGAAGTCCAGCGCTCATCACAAACAGGCTTTACTAGGAAATGGGGTTTAGGGTATTGCTGTTTGGCTGTTCGGGGTGGGTATGGCCATCAGACATCAATAGGTGCAACAAAGACGTAGATTCAGTTGCATCCTGCTGTTCGACCTGTCGAACACCAAGACCAAATTCCAACTCAAGCACACGTACGTCAGTAGCTAGCCTAGAAGTAGCCATGATTCCGCTGATCTACAATGCAATCGCTTCCTCCCCTCCCACAGCTGCCCTTACGAGCCTAGCGTAGTGTTGCCCTCTAGCTTTCTGAATCTTGGGGTGGGTTGTCCTGCATCTACAATCAAAGGGGAAAAGGAGGGACCCTTAATGGGGACCTCTACCCTATAATGGGCTATATAAGGTGGTATATAATAGCTATATTAAGGGTAGATACCGATGAGACTTATTAAGGATCCCTCCTTTTACCCCTGGATGCAAGCCAGTTGCCATGATTGAGATGTGAACAGTTCAGCGGTTTGTGTTTTTGGGGAGTTTCCTCTCTGTACCCTAGGGCCCCAAAGTAGTTCCTGTTTAGGGTTCATATTTAGAACCCTAGAAGGTAACCCCAAACAGGAACCACTTTGGAGCCTCTGGGTAGCACCGTAATGCTGCACTGAAAAATATCGAAAACCTTAGCATACCTAAGCCTTCTCCAGACTTTAACCCATGAACGTTGCTTGCTCGACTTTAACATATGGGATGGGTAGGCCCGGATAGGCATCGCTTTACCTTTCTGGGCCTGACATGTTGGGTGGTATACCAAAACATAGCCCAAGCAACATTCAAAACCCTAAACCCTTAACCCTAAGCCCCTGTTTCTTTTTTGTGGCAACCCCAGACCCTGAACCCTCAGCCGTACTGCACTGTTACACCCCTAAACCCCAAGCCTAGGGAAGTTCTGGGGCGTTCAGCCCCTAACCCAAGTTACACCCTGCACCCAATCAAGAAAGCTTGCAGCCATTGGCCAAATCATAACACTCCTTAAGCCACTCCCAAAACATACTTTTTCTAAGGGCCCCCACGAATTTCATAGTAGGATTCATACTATAAGAGCCAACAGAGAATTAGTTTGGGAGTTTAGGGTAGTTTAAGGCAGTGGTCTTGGCCTGGACCTTGAACATTACAGTTGGTCATTCATGCTTTGTACCAGAGAATACCTTATACAACGCCTCTTGTATCGATGTGTCAGCTATTTCCAACACTGCTGATACTCTCACAGGAGCATGTTTCCTTCAAGAGACTTTCTGATAGGGGCCACCGTGAAAAGGCTGGCTATATAGGCCTCAAACCCCAAACCCTCGAAACTCTAAAACCCTCGAAGCCCTGTAGCTCAATGCACAAACACCCTGCATACCCAAGGTCGGACTTTGCCATTGCCTTAGAGGCTTGGGAGGGCTTCAAAGCCGCAGATTGAGCATTCGGGTTTGCATCAGGGCTTCGGTGATTGCAGAAAGGATGCCTCTTTAGACGTACTTGGAGGATCATGGGAGTAAGTAAGTTGGGTTATAAGTACCTTACTTGGGGTTATAGGTACTTGTAGCTGTAGTTACCTTACTTATAACCCCAATTACTAAGGCCCATGATCCTTTAAGTACTAGCAGAAAGACCTCCGACATGACAAATCGTAAGGCATGGCGCTTGGATCAATCCCAGAGACTCCAATATCCCCCAATTCAGGAATAGACCTTAAATTATAGTAGGATCCCTAATGGATTTAAGGAGTATTCCTTAATTAAGGGATATTGGAGTCTCTGGGATTCTGGGTTCGCGTGTAGGGCAGCTCCTTATACCGAGTAGCGGGTGCACTTTCATGACTCCCAACTTGTCTTTCTCACGTGCAGGGTCGACAGACCACATGAAATTCTAAACCCTACCCTAGGGCTCTTGGACCCTTCTAGTGAGGTCCCAAACCCTCGCCCCCAAAGCCGAAACCCTCCCCCAGAAGGCCCAAGACCCTCGAAGGAGCCTTAGGGTAAGACCAACTTAAAACGCTAAACAGAAAACCATGGTCCCCAAACCCTGAATCCTCAACCCTAAACTCCTAAGCCCAAGCACCCTACATGAGCAGTTGTAAAAATCAAGGTCCCTTTTTGGGTATCCCGAATAGTAGCTGCCGTATTATAATCGGGACCCCACGCCCCTAAACCCTAAACCCTAAACACCAAAAAAGGACCATAATTGACAACCGCCCACATGAGCCTTGTAGGAGCTGCGCGGTCACTTCTCGCTGCTGCTGAACTCCTTCCGCGAGGTCTGGGCCCGAACATTGTCTGTGCAGCATAGGGGTTTAGGGTTAAGGGTTTAGGGGTTTAGGGGTTTAGGGTTTAAGGTTTAGGGTTAAGGGTTTAGGGTTTAGGGGTTTAGGGGTTTAGGGTTTAAGGTTTAGGGTTAAGGGTTTGGGGTTTAAGGTTTAGGGTTTAGGGCCCTTGGGGGCCCTGGGGGGTAGGGACCCAAGAAGCACAGAAACAGAAGCATTTTACAGGGATATCCCTACCTTTTTGGGCTTCATTATGAGGGGGTTTATATGGGATATCCCATGCTTGTTTGTGCTTATGTGCTTGTGTATCACAAGGACCCTTAGCAGGGTAGGGAGGGGGGTAGGGGACTATACTTCCCCGAAAAAGATTTATTATGTCCTTATCTCAGGTATTACGCCTCCCCCGACCGCCCTTGAGGGTCCTTATGAGTGTAGGGTTGCTGCTTGGGCTCCGGATGGTTCTAGAAGATCTCAGACGGAGAAGTGAGCATGACGTCTTTACTCGACGTGTTTCTCTCCAGTTGGTGCCCGAATCCAAACCCTGCAAGCCCCCAAAACGCCAAATCCGAAAATAAAGCCGACACCGCAAGCAATGCATCCGCTGAGGTTTGCGACCAGTCTAATGTCGCGGCCTTACTTCTCTAAACCCTAAACCCTAAACCCTAAACCCTAAACCCTAAACCCTAAACCCTAAACCCTAAACCCTAAACCCTAAACCCTAAACCCTAAACCTTAACCGTTCTCCTGTGCGTGTCGGCTTGGAGCGCAGGGTTTCGGATTCGGGCTCAGGGGCAGGCCTGATCCTAAACTCCATGGGTAAAAGGAGGGGCCCTTAATAAGGACCCCTAGGCATATACCCTTAATATAGCTATTATATACCCATTACATAGCCCATTACAGTAGAAGCCAGAAAGTTGGAATATGATTATCCTAAACCCTTTGTGGTAAGTTATAAGGTATCCTACCCTGAAACCATATTCCAACTTTCTGGAGTTCCCTATAAGAGTGCAAGTCATGTAGAAGCCTGAATTACTGGTATTACCACCTGTGCAGGATTTTTGATCCATCGACCGCAATAGCCGTAGCCGCAGCCTTAGCCCCTAAACCCTAAAACCCTAAACCCTAACCCTAAAACCCTAAACCAAACTCTAAACCCTAAACCCTAATACCCTAAAACCCTAAACCAAACTCTAAACCCTAAACCCTAAAACCCTAAAACCCTAAACCCTAAAACTGAGTTGGAGGAGCCAGAAATCAATGAGGGTTATGTTCGGGAGTCGACTCCCACGGCGTTCTCAGTAGGACGTCGGTGTATGGATCAGAGTGCGAAACCAGGGCCCGAAAAGCCTACAGGGAACTCCAGAAAGTTGGAATATGGTTTCATGGTAGGATACCCTATAATTTACCATAGAAGGGTTAGGATAATCATATTCCAACTTTCTGGCTTCTACCTTAATGCTTGGGGACGTGGACCTTCCGGGTCAAGGTTAGACCCAAAGGTTCCTACGGTGGATGATATGAATCCTGCGTTACCCATAATATAAGGAATATACCATAATTCCCATAGTTTAGGGTCCTTAAGGTCACGCAGGGTTTATATCATCCACCGAAGTACCAAATTTTTGTAGGTACTTAGTAGGTATTTGGGCCCCCAAAGTACATACTAAACTATTACTTGGACCCTTTGGGAGAGTTAATTTAATTCGCTGCCTAAAGAATATCCCTACTCCTCCAAAGACCTTATCATTGCGTCCTTGAGGGGTCCAGGGGCCCAGAAACTATGAGGTCCTTGGAAGGGTAGGGTGTCGTCTCCATTAGGGTTGGGCTTAGGGGTTGAGGGGTTGAGGGTTTAGCGGTTTAGGGGTTTAGGGTATAGCGGACTGCTACAAGGTATTACCTGAGGATTACCATAACGACTCCCACTCCCACTCCTGCTGTCGCACCAGTGACTGATTAAGGCTTTTGACCAGGTTGGGATTTCTGCCATTACTCATTACTTATTAAGCGGAGAGTGGGAGGGCCAAGCACGTACTGGCTCAACGCCGCTTTGATGGGGTGCTGAAGGCAACTTCACGATGGTTGGCACAGCTTCCCGGAAAGGCCGTGCCACCCCCCTCCACCAAGCCCAAGGGCTGGCCGCCAGAGACTATAGCGAGGTGCAGACCCACTCCCTGAAGCTCGAGACCTGAAACGTAAGCCCCAAGCCCTGAGGTCTAGACTACACATCTAACCCTAAACTCTAAACCTTATAAACCCTAAACCATAAAACCTAAACCCTAAACCAAAGCCACAACTCCCAAACACAAGCCCAGCGCTGAATGTCAGGCTGGGCCATCATCTCGGACCTGTGAGCAACTTCTGCCGGAAGCTCATGTAAGGTTCGGTTAAGGGTTTAGGGTTTAGGGTCTAGGGTGGTCTAGGGTTTAGGGTTCAGGGTTTAGGGTTTAGGGTTGAGGTTTGGTCTTCATGGGGGTCTCGGGTGTGGGGTTTAGGAGTTTAGGGGTTTGGCGGTTTAGGGGTTATATAGGGTTTAGGGTTAGGGGCGTTTGTGGCGACAGCTGCGTGAAGCTCGTGAAAACCGGTGGTAAGATACTTTGTATTAGCCACATGACCGCCATCTGTCGGGGACTTTTCGTTCGTTTTGTTGCACCGAACACACACCGACCACAGGATCCACCTACAAGACTAATCGCAGTCAGAGCAACCCTAAACCCTTAACCCTAAGCCCGCAGTTTGGATTTAAAGGGTTCAGGGTTTGGGGTAAATTTTTGCCAATGCCGTTCCTGAGGTTGCTTGCTAGGGGTGTACTTCCGCATACCCCCAAACCTCGCAATTATTAAGGCCAGTTTTGAAAGTCTAGAGTATAGCCTAAACCCTAAACTCAACTCCTGAAATCGAAAAACCCAATCCCTGAACCCCAAAACCCCAAAACCCTAAAGCCACGAACCCCATAAGTTCGACTATAACCCTTGAAAACCGCAACCGACCCACAAAGTGCCCCACCTGGAGGGCTTAGGGTTCAGGGCTTAGGAGCCCTGCAATGGCTCTGCTTTTAGGGTGTGGGGTTTAGGGTTTAGGGTGTAGGGTGTAGGGTTTAGGGTTTAGGGTTTAGGGTTTAGGGTTCAGGGTTCAGGGTTTAGGGTTTAGGGTTTAGGTTGCAGGTTATGGGTAGGGTTCGGGTTTTTCCGGGTTTAGGTTTAGGTCAGGGCGTAGGGTAAGGTTTTAGAGTCGTTGCTATGTGATATCACATTTGTGTCAAACTGCAGTACACCCCAGCTTTCGGTTCTAGTTGTTCAGATCCTTGATTATGTTACCCAAACCGCCAAACTTTAAGCCCTAAACTCCCCCATTCTTAAAAAAAACTCCCTTTCTAAGCTGTTCCCAAATCCCAAACCCTAAATCACAAAGCCCGAAACCCTAAATTCTACTCAAAACTCCTCAAAGCCTTAAAGCTCACCAAGCTGTGATTCCTAGTAGTAGAGTAGGTAACCTTTAACCGTTTTGTGTAGTATAGTCCCTATATAATCCATACCTGTATCCCCAAACACTACAAAATAGTAGGTTATGACCCCTTAATTAAAGGGTCTAACTCTTGAAACGGTAGGTTTTTGGACCCACAGGTATATAGCCAAAAATGTTAACCGTTAGTTCCCCATGATACGCGACAAGTAGGAATTTCATGCTAGGCAGAGCATGCGGGACCAGAGGAAGTTGGTCGTCGCGCCCGAGGACTGGCAAGGGCTTGAGATTTGGGAGTTCCCGAAAATTAGGGGTATCTTAGGGTTCCTTTAAAGGGTTACTATAAGGGTACTATAAGGGTTCTATGAAGGGGTTAGGGCTTAGGGTTTAGAGTTCCCGAAAATTAGGGGTACCTTATTTGGGGGTCCGTCTAATAAGGATCCTGCTATTTAGGGTACTCTATTAGGGTCCCCTTGTTTTCGGAAACTCCCATTTCTTCCGGAAGCCTTACTTAAAGGACCATGGGACTTAGTAACTTAGAGGGCTCCTTAAGGGGTCCTTTAAAGGGTACTATTGTAGATGGTTTCTGAGAATTTGGTTTTTGTTTCTGAAAGGGCCATCTATGAGGGTTTAGGGTTTAAAGGACCATGGGACCTAGAAACTGACAGGGCTCCTTAAGCGGTCCCTTAACATAATTAAAAGGTATTAAAAGAGATCTATAAGGGTTGAGGGTTTACCATGGGACTTAGTAAGTGGGGTTAGACGTAAGGTAAGTAGAGTTATAACTACTTCTAGCCCCAGTTTAGGTACTTATGATGCTACTTACTAAGTCCCGTGATCCCCCAAGTAAACTCTAAACTCTAAGCCGAAACGGTTTTGGTACAATCACCTTAGGATTTGGGGTGTTGGGTTTTGGGGTTCAGAGGTTTGCAGACTTAGAGTCCAGGCACTTCTATCTAAGGGCTCTGTTTGGTTCGGGTTGATTTTCTTCTAAGGGCCTCTGTCAGGAATCCTACGCCCCTCACAATGTACCCCAACACGGTGCTGCAATTACTCAAACCGTGAAACCTTAAATCCGTTACAGTAAGCTTTTTGGGCCTCTTCAAGAGGAACACTTAAAGGAGCTCTTTGCAATTAGAAAATGCCCCTGTGCCAAGCCCTTAGCGTCACCCGTGTAGTAACTCTTAGAGAACCCTGTACAGAAACCCTAAACCCTAAACCCTAAACCCCTAACCCCTAAACCCTAAACCCTAAACCCTAAACCCTAAAGCCCTAAACCCTAAACCCCTAAACCCCTAAACCCTAAACCCTAAACCCAAAACCGTCCTGTTCTACCCAGTCGGGCCCTGAAGCCGTAAACCCTAAACCCTTAAAGGAACCCGGTTTTACTCATAAGGAACCCTAAACCCTAAGCCTTGAACCCCAAACCCTAATTACACTCTTAAAGGAACCGTGTTCCAGGAGGGTCCATGTACACTACTATTATGGAACTAGGTCCCCAAAACCATAATGGGGATGGTCTTGTGGGACTTCATTCCATAATGGTAGTATACGTGGACCCTCTGGGGTTCTACCCACTAATGTGGTGCAAGGAGCCGTTGTCTGACCTTCGCCAAAAGCTTCGGGACACTCAGTCAGTGCTCGGGCAGGCATCGAGAGGATCCAAAAGAGGTGTAGGGTTTTAGGGTCCTAGGGTTTAGGGTTCTAAGGTTCCAGGGTTTTAGGGTTTGAGGGTTTTTGAAAGTTTTGAGCTTGGGGTGGTATTTGGGCTCCAGGATTCGGGCTTATCTGGGATTTAGGGCTTTAGGCATCGACAGCTTCGGGTTTTCGGGCTTGAGATGCGACATGGATGCAAAGTGCAGAGGATTCCCTAAGCTGCTTTCACTAAGACCCTAACTGGTTCTAGTTAAGGAACTAAGTTTGATTACAGTAGAAGCCCAAAAGGTGGAAACCCAATTGCCTCATGTATGGGGAATCCCAGCACTAATTGTCCTGAATCCGATTTCCAACTTTTTGGGGATTTACTATAAAATACCATAGTGGGGACTCATGGTCGCCCCCTGGTTTTCCGTATGATTTATTATGGTAGCTTAAACTGAGTTTGTTAACACCCAACAACTCAAAACCATCCTAAACCTGATTCGGAAAGCGCTGGGCTGGGTCTAGGGTTCGGGGGTTGGGTGTTTGGCTGAGGTATAAGTTCTACAGGGTTCAAGGGGAAGGTTCCACATGTGGCTAGTTCTCTACATTGGAGTTAGAGTCCCCTTTGGGTCTTATTTGTATTTGTGCCATACTTTTTGTGGACCTAAACAGGGACCCTGATTTAGAGAATGCGAGGGTTAAGACCCCAAGCCCTACTATAAATCTTATACATCCTAACAGGTTTGTCAACCTGCATAAACCCTAAAAACCCTACAAGCCCTATACAAAGCCTTATGAACCCTTCAAGCCTACATCAACCCTGTAAGCCTATGAACTTCTATCAGCCCTATAAACCCTATAAGCACTAAAGTCTAAAAGGCCAGGAGAGCTAGGCGCCTAAGAGCTTCGTGTCGCCAGGCCGGTACGCGCTACGAGGAGGCGATGATGCGCGCCAAAGCAAGCGCCAGGCAGACGGAGTTTAGCGGTTTCGGGGAGTTTTCAGGGGGTGCTTTAGGGGTTTAGGGCTTTGGCGGCTTTGGCATTTAGGGTTTGGGGTTAGGTTCTTGGGCTTAGGCTAGGGTTCAAGCGGCTAGGGCGGCTAGGGCTTAAGGGTTTAGGGTTTGAGGCGTGAGGTGAAGGGGTCTAGCGTTTACCTAGAGGGTCATACCCTACTCCTTTTTTAAGGATACCTAGTTTTCTGGTTAGGACCTGTTATATAGAATATTAGGTACCTTGAAAAAGGGGTAAGGTATGAGCCTCTAGGTAGGGTTTATGACTGTGTTTTCGCACAAAAACAATCAGTAATAGTATCCCACTATCGTCAGTAGATAACTACAAAGACAAGATCAAGGCGACCTCCGTTCTATGTGTTCAGGAACCCAGTGTAGAAACTTTATTTATTATTGCCCTGAATGCACTCTATCAACCACCCTATTCCCTAAACCCCTGCAGTAACCCTTAACCCACTAACCTTAAACCCTCAATCTTGAAGCCTTAACCCCAACCCCCGCCAAAAAAAAAAAGTCCTAAAGCCGTAAGATCCCGAAACTCTGAGCCCCGAAACGCTAAACCCTAAACTCAAAGGGTAAAAGGAGGGACCCCTAATAAGGACACCTAGGTATATACCCATAATATAGCCATTATATACCCATTATATAGCCCATTATAGGGTAGGGGTCCCCATTAAGGGTCCCTCCTTTTCCCCTTTGATAAACCCTAAAACCCTCAACCTAAATCCTAAACCCTACATCCTCCTTTCTCTTGCAGGATGTCTCCGGAATGTCAGGCCAGGCTCCGAGGGTGTAATCGTGTGGGACGCAGGGCGAGATGGGCTCGGGTTTAGCGTTTAGGGAGCTTAGCGAATTTATTGTCTGAGTTTTGGGAAACTTCGTTGCTTCCTGTACAGAATGCTCCGAGTTCCTGGCAGGGTTCCTTTGCGACTTTCTTTCACGACTTCCTGAAAGGAGACAGGGTATTGAAATGTATAGGGGTACCTTGTTTTGGAGTCTTTATAATAAGGATCCTAGAATTTAGTGTACTGTATTAGGGTACCGTTTTTTTGGAAACCCCCAAACTAAGGGGCTTACAGGCTGGCGCTGCAAGTGCTCATCTAAGGGTTCCGGAGTCTCCTACAGGAACTCCTTTCAGAGCTTTTCCTCGCGCCTGACAGCCACTGGAAGCCCCTAAACCCTAAACCCTAAACCCCAAAACCCTAAACCCTAAACCTTAAAAAACCCTAAACCCTAAACCGCCATGGCCTTCTGAATAATAATCCCACAAGGTTCGGAGCCCATGGCCTTCCGGGCAAAGTTTAGATTAGGATTAGGATCCAGGGCTTAGCTTCAGGGTTCCGGTTTAGGGTCAAGGGCTTAGGGTTTGGGGATCTAGGGTTCTAAGTGTCAGCCCAAGTTTAGGGCTTAGAGCGTTCAGTCTTCATCCTTGGGCAAAGTTCAGGCTACTTGTAGGACTCAGGGTTTAGAGTTCCTCGTTTTGGGATCAGGATTCAGGGGGAGGGGTTTATGGCAAAGTTTGCGGATTTCTGGGCTTTCGGGTTCCGGGTTCAGGGGTTCGGAAGTAGGGCTTTCAAGATCGTGGTAACTAAAGCCTTGGACTTGTCCTGAAGCCAACAGGCGAGACCCTAAACCCCTAAGCCCTAAACCCCGAAACCCCTAAACCCTAAAGCCCCAAACCCCAAACCCCTCAACCCAACCCCCAAACCCCTGAACCCTTAAACCCCTAAACCCTACACCCCTAAGCCCTACAACCCCCAGACTCTAAACCCCTAAACCCCCAAACCCTAAACCCCTAAACCCTAAACCCCATAGATCCGTTATGGATTTAACGGAACCCCTACAGATCCCTGAATTATAGATCCCTGATAGTAACCCTTATAGACCCTTTAAAAAGGAACCCTCAACCCTAAACCCTTAAACCTGAATGAGGCCGGCTGGCGAGACATCAAAAGTCCGATGCACTTAAAAAAACCCTTTCACCTCTAAAACCCTAAACCCCAAGGCTAGGATCCGTTGCGTGCCAGGCGGAGCCGATCGTAACGCCGTGGGAGCCCATAGCCCGGGAGCCCGTGGCGCGGGAGCCCGTGGCCCCGGGAGAGCCCAGGACGTCGGTGCCCTAAGGGCAGGGTTTGGAGATCAGGGTTTAGGGTTTAGGGTTTTGGGGTTTAGGGTTTAGGGTTTAGGGTTTAGGGATGCTTTTTTGGCCATTGTTGCTTACTTAGCCAATGGCAGAACTTTCAATGGTCTTAGACTTTTTAAATAGACTGTAAGCTTCTGAATTATGAATTAAAAGTTTAAACTAATTTAAACTTATATAGACTCTGTCTATTGTCTACCCTAAGAAGTTGTTTTATTTTGGCTTTGTTATTGGACAACACAGGTTGACGTTGTCAAGCAGTTGCTCCAGATGTCCCTCAACCAGCGTGCTCAGGACCCCCCCCTAAACCCGGTTGTGCCACATCTACGCTTTTGTGTTGCCTTAGGGTTGTAGGGCCGGTGCCAACAGGAGCATGGGGAGCCCTGATCAAGGGTTGTGGTTGCTAGCCAGAATTGCGGGATTTTCGGGTTTAGTTTCATATTGTATACTGCATTATGTACATTTTACTCTATTCATCAAGGTTCATAAAGTTATAAATTAAGGTTACCAGGTTTATAATTTGAGGGGAAGGTTTGTGGGGTGTGATTAACGGCTCAGAGGTCCATTTCACATGATTTGCGCTTGGATGTTCGAAGCTCTGAACCACTACTCATGGACCACCTTCAGGCCTTGCAGTCAAGGAAGCTAGAAGTTTCATCATAGTTCGAGTTAGGGTGAACGTTCCACGTCCGATTGCATGGCTGCATGGGCCACATGATTTCGGATTCTGGCATGGTCTATGGTCCATGGTCTATGGTTCTATAATGAAGTTCTGTAACTTAAAATACTCTAAACCTAAATTCTAAATACAACTTGAAGTTCCAGTCTTTGCACTGTTGCACCAGTAAACTTCGAACTTCGAACTTTGAGCCCTAAGCTGAGAAAAGCTTTGCACTGTACTGGTTCTTGCTACGTCTTTCTGATTGTTGTGACCAGGCTCTGCGTGTTGACATGTGCAGTTTTTTGTATGCGTGGAATGCCCGGCTGTTCTTATGGAGGAGCTTGAAGGGATGCTGCAGATGTTCAGCAAGCAGGATCGTGCTGTGTTGGATCCGGAAGCACTGAAAACTCGGAGTGCCCACAGGGATATCTCCAGCTTTATCCTCGCGGACACGCGCATCCGCAAGCTCTTGGACATTGCTTTAGGTCGCAAGCAGTTGCCAGCTGACATGGCCAATGCCTTGACCAAGGCATTGGTGATGGAGCGTGTGGCCACTTGCATGGTTTATGGTTCTCAGTAGTTCTTATGTTCAACTTTGGCTGTTACCTGGCATGCACCCAATTGGACAAGTGAGCTTAATCAAGGATGACATCCTTCGCGGGTTTAGAGATGAGGGATTAGGGTTTAGGGATTGGGGTTTTTAGGGTTTGGGGTTTAGGGTTTCGGGATTTTGGTTTAGGGTTTAAGTTGTTTCGTTGATTCAACAGAGGATGTTGGCGGTGTTACATAAAGGGTTTGGGGCTTAAATATTGTTTTGCATGGTTTAAGCTTTATGTAGGACTAAGGATGTTGTGTGTTGTAGTCTTGTGTTTTGGTTTCCGAGGGGCGAGGGGTTCAAAATTCAGGAATTGGAACGGCTTAACAAGAGCATTCCAGTCCTTGTTGCGTGTATTCGGTTTGCGGATGGTTTCGGTATCTTCGTGTCACCCTAAACCCTAAACCCTAAACCGGAGTTGACGCAGAGGGCTCGTACGTTCGGCTCAGGGTTTTTAGTAACGCAGAGGTCTGAACAGTTCGTGGTGGTATCCGGGTATAGTCCCCAGATAGGTGTTCTAAGGAATTCTACTAGATACTACCCTAGGGCTCCATAGTAGAACTTTCCTTTGTAGGGTTCTTATTTATAGAACCCTAAAAGGTAACCCCAAAAAGGAACTACTTTGGGTAGATGCCCCCAAGCCCTGTCTCCCCGGTTTAGGGTTTAGGGTTTAGGGGCTTTCCGGCGCAAGTTGCAGGAGTTTTGCTGCAATGAGGGGATCCCTTCCTAAGTGTCTTCAAGCAGGATAAGAGTCGTAAGAGGCTTCAGGTTCGGTTCCTGGGGTTTAAGGCTTCAGAAGCTCAGAAACCCTAAAATCCTAAACCATAAGCCATACCGGAAGAGTTCAGCGCATGCAGCCCAGGGCTTTCGTGCTGATGCCCTCACGACTCAAGTCCGACAGCCCTAAATCTTAGACCCTACATCACATATTAAAAACTCCAGACCTTCAGCCCTAAAACTCCCAAACTCTTGTCAACCTTGCATGTATCTGTGGAGGAAGCCAAGCAAAAACCCCAAAATCCCTCAATCAGCAAGAACCCTTCCAAGGCAAGAGGCCAGTGCGGCCAAATCTTCGAACTTTGCAAATGTTTCATTCCGGGGCTGAAATCAGCCTCGTCCCTCCCAGAAACTCCATTCCCAAGTATTCCTTTCAGGATCTTATGCTTATGAGGGTATTTTTCTGAGGTTACCATGGTTTTGTAGGATCCTCAAAGGGCTGCCATGCCCAGAGACTCCAGTATCCTCAAAGAATAGGGAATATACCTTAAGCCATAGCGGGATCCGTAATATGATTTAAGGAATATTCCTTAATGAAGGGAGATTGGAGTCTCTGGGTAACTCATACTTACCCTAGGCCCTAAACCCTAAACCTTAAACTTGCTTACGGTGGGCGCCCTAAACCCCTAACCCCTAAACCCTAAAACCCTAAACCCTAGGGTCGTACTGGTTTTTATCTTCATTTTTGACTTTGAGGGCAGAGTTTCCCGTGGAGGGTTCTCGGGTTTCAAAGAGTTCAGGGCCCTAACATACTACGTAATTACAAAACCTATTTGGGGGGGGTCCTTATTATAAGTATAGTATAATGGGCCCCCCAAAACCTATTCTAACTATTAAGGCCCCTATAATACTATAGTACCCTGAAAGATCCTTAAAGTCGGCCTTATATAGATCCCTAAACCCTAAACCCTATTCTAATTACTAAGGCCGCTATATTAGGGCCTTGAGCTTTAGAGGTCAGGGGACAGGGTGCTTGAGGGCTCTGGAGGAGTATAAACCCAAACTTCTGTCTGAGCTGTACAGTTTTAGGGCTCTTAGGGTTCAGGGGTTTAGGGTTTAGGGTTTGTAATCGCCCAAGAATTTGAAGCAGCCATGCTAACCAAACCCCAAACCCTAAAAGAGTGCTGGGCTGGGGGATCGTGATACCTAGTCTGAGGGTTTAGTGCCTTCAGCTTGTTTGCAGAATCTTCCAACCCGTAGCTAAGCCCTTATTTTACCTTAAGCCCTTAAAGCCGTAAACTCGACCCGGTTCCTCACCCTTAAAGCACCTTAAACAAAAAAACGTCAAAGCTCTACCCTTAAAGCCCTAAATTCGACCCTGGACCCGTAAAGCCCTGAAAGCTTGCAACGCCTTTAAAACCCTTCAAGCCTTTAAAACCCTTAAAGCCCCTAACGCCCTGAGATCCCTTAAAACCTTTACGGTCCTCTTGGACCCCAGACCCTAAACCCCTAAACCCTGAACCCCTAAACCCCTAAACCCTATACCCTATAGATCCCTTATGGATCCCAATAAAGGAACCCTATAGATCCCTTTAAGGATCCCTTTAAAGGAACCCCCTACAGAACCCCATGTTTAAGCCTTTAAGGCCCTGAGAGGATGCTGGAGTCTTTGGGCATGTCCTTGTTTCCAAGCGACCGGCGGCTCCGTCACCCCTCCACCCTTTTCCTACTGTTGATGGTAGAAATCCTCCATTACCCGTTTTTAGGAATATACCATTATTCCCATAGTTTAGGGTCCTTAAAGTCATGCAGGATTTATATCATCCACCGTAGTAGTAGACAAGGCCCTTATTCCCTTCTTCTCGGGTTCAGGTTACCTTACAAGCCCCTTCCTAGGTTACTCTTGGGTCTAGTTTCCTAGTAGGGAAGTAGGCAACCTTGAACCTCTTCCTATATAATCCGAAACTCCCTTTGGGACATTTTCATCCCTATAAAACCCCAATATACTCCCAAGGGTTAACCTTTAGTTCACCAAGATACTCGACATGTATATTGTATATAGGTTGTTCAAGCCCGATGTGTCATGAAAACTAAGTGCTTTATCTTATAGGGTCCTTAAGGGAGGGTGGTTCAAGGGAGGAGGGTACAAGGGACCCTTAGGGAACCTGAAGGAGAACTAGGGATTAGTACGTTGCCTACCCCCCTTGGAGCCCCCTCCCATAAGGATACTATAATCATTTCTCACAAATCTTGAGGTCCCGATATTCGACTCAGCTTCGCAAAGGAAGACCCTCAAACATTCGCCATCGTAATCCTAAACCCTAAACCCCAAACCCCCCCCAAAAAAAAAACCTAAACCCCAAACCCCCAAACCCCTAAACCCTAAACCCCCAAAACCCCAAACCCCTAAACCCTAATCCCTAAACCCTAAACCCCAAACCCCCAAACCCCTAAACCCTAATCCCTAATTCCTAAACCCTAAACTTTTTGTAGCTCTGGCATTCCTGGTCTCGGGGCTCCTTCTTAGCCTGACCACAGAAGAGCCTTACGCAGTCTCCGTTCTAGGAACACTCCTGATCCCGCATCTACTTGGAAGGGCAGGGGACCTAGTAAGTAGGTTATAAGTAGGGTTATAATTGGGGTAACTCCATTTAGGGTACTTATAAGTCCCCTGCCCTTCCAAGTAGGGTTTAGGGTGTAGAGGTGTAGGGTTTAGGGTTAACGGTTCAGGGACCTAGACTCGAAACCCTGCAAATATACCCCGTCATCCCGCATTTCGGGGGTGGGGCCGCCTCCTTCCGGCAGTAGCCTCAGAATTGCATCACCGGCGGAAAGATCGCCGGCGATGCGGGCGTCGTAGCAAGGGGTGTGTTCTAAATTGGGGTCCCCGTTTAGGGTTGAGGACTAAGGGTTTTTGGAGGTGTTCCAAATGTGGATCATCTGTCAATACCCCTTCATTTGATATTGACTTGTTCATACATAGGGACCCTAGTTTTGAACAGCTCCAGCAAGACAGCATGGATGACAAAAACGACCTGTGGTAGGTTCATCCTTTCTTCTAAATGCTGAAGTCGATGATGCTTATGATGGTAATAATGCTGATGCTGATGATGCTGGTGACCCCTCCAGTAAGCTGAGAAACCTCCGATTCCTTTCAGTAGAAGAGGTATCGAGTAGCCTTAATCCTAAACTCTACTTGTCCTAAACCCTAAACCCTAGTCTTTCAGTAGAAGAGGTATCGAATTTTTCCCGCGGCTTCTGACATGAGATCCCACTGACTTAATCACGGAGGAGGTCTTTCTTGCCCGCAGCTAGAATCGAGGGTCTAGGGTATAGAATCCTAAGCTTCCGTTTTTACAGCGTGTACGGTCCTTGTCAATGGTTTTGGATTTAGGAGTTTCCGAAAATTAGGGGTACCCTATTCTGAGGCCCTGATGATGAGGATCCTACTATTTTGGGTACTATAGAAGTTACAAGGGCCCCCTGTTTTCGGAAACTCCCATCTGAGGTTTTAAATTTCAGTCTTTGGGTCTAAGGCTCAGGGCGTCGAGGTGCTAGGGTATACTTGGAGGATCATGCGACTTAGTAAGTAAGGTTATAGGTGCCCTAAGTGGAGTGATAAGTAATTATAGATACAGTTACCTTACTTATAACCCGACTTACTAAATCCCATGATCCTTTAAGTAGGCTTGATTGAGATTGAGAACCCTAAACCCTAAGCCCTACGGTTGATGATATAAATCCTGCATTATCCATAATGAGGAATATACCGTAATTCCCATAGTTTAGGGTCCTTAAGGTCATGCAGGATTTACACCATCAGCCTTAGGTTCTTTCTTTGGTTTGCACTACTGTCCTCTGAGATTTGAAGCTCTTAGTTCCCGCTCTTACGCCGTCCAGCCCCTCAGAACTGGAAAAACTAGTTATTTGGGAGTTTCCGAAAATAGGGGATACCTCAGTTTGGGGTCCTTATATATAATAAGGATCCCATTATTTAGGGTAATTGCCTAATAAGGGTCCCCTATTTGCGGAAACTCCCATTTCGGCCCCAGTGTTACACGAACTTTGGCCCTGAAGTCCTGCAGACGTAAACACAAACCAACCGACCGGCACAACCCAAAAACCGAAACCCCAGAAACCCCATGATACGGGTTTGATAATTTCAATGTAGGGTTTCATTAAAATGTAAGTATACTGCAGTTTAGTGAAAGTAGAGAACCGTAAGGAGCACCATTAGTTTTTTGAACGTCTACATGGGTGGTTGTCAAAATTATGGTCCCTTTTTGGGTCCTTATTATAATTCGGCACCGAATATTTAGGGTACCCAAACGGGTCCATAATTTTGACAACTACCCACATTACAACCTGAAGTCCTTAACCTCATAGGGATCCTTAGGGGTGTAGGGGGGAGGGGTGTAGGGGACTATATTTCCTTAAATAGGCCTTATTAGTTCTTATTATGGGCCTTAAGGCCCCCTACCCCCCCTCCCCCTACACCCCTAAGGATCCCTATGAAACTACCCACATTACAACCTGAAGTCCTTAACCTCAGGGCAGCACCTGTCGCGCACGGCATACTTGCATGCGTCATGGGCCCAAGGGTAGGAGGAAAATGACTAAAGCGATGGGGCCCGAACTTGGGGGTTGGGGTTGTGGGGTAATAGGGTTTAGGGTTTAGAGTTTAGGGTTTAGGGTTTAGGGGACGCTAAACCCTAAAAACACCCGAGCTGAAGCCCTACCTGGACCTAGACAACTCTTAAATCCCTTGAGCCGCAAAACCCCCAAGCCCCCACAGCCTTGGCCCTAAGCGGCAGACCCTAAACCCGAGACAGACCGTAAATCTTAAGCTGTACTTGGAGGTTCGTGGGTAGTTATAAGTGGGCCTAAAAGTAGGGTAACTTTAGTTATAACCCATATAAAGGGACTTATAACTCCACACATTCCTACCCATGAACCTCCAAGTAGACCCTGGATCCCTTGACGACCGAAACATATTCAGCCCCCCACAAACCCAAGGTTGAAGTTTCTGCCACAAGTTTGAGCCTGATAGAAAACACTTGCCCCTAACAGTAAAAACATAAGAGATGATGAGCCGGCTAAGAGCAAAACTCAAACCCTAAAGCCCCAAACCAAACCTAAGTTCCTTTAAACAAGAAGTTCGGCCCTTGACAAGACGGCATCATAAGCAAGTTAAGCCTTGAGAACAAAGGCCAATGCCCCGCCAAGCCTCTAAACCCTTCAATTTCTTAAACCCCTACTTGGAGGCCCTTTTGACTTAGTAAGTCTACTTAGTATCCCCTAGAAACCCTATTATAATCCCCATAACCCAGCTTACTAATCCTAGTTACTAAGTCAAAAGGGCCTCCAAGTAAACCATCCGAAACCCCA